GAACGTCTCAGAAAGCGAGGGAGCTCATAGTCATATTGTAGTCGATTCTTCCCATCCATTGCCGTAACGCTAATACTCTCCATACGTTCTCAGAAATTGTCTAATGGTGAGGGTGTCATAACACTCACGGAACCCATGTTTCAAGTCTAGGAGAAACCATTGCCATATCAATCGTGTCAAAATGATGTCCAGCAGTGACTGCACCGATGGAAACTGCCTTGGAATGTTTGTTAGAGACAGATAATGCCGGTGGCTGCAAACGTTGAGCCAGTTCATGCCTGCCTCCGGCCCCATTGGCAACTCAGCGTGGACATAGCTAAATGTGGTTTTTCATGGATCACTCGGACCTTCTTGTAGAAGTTTCTTCAGGAAGCCTGCTGGGAAAGGTGGCTTTCCGCCGTTATCAGGTTCCCTAGTGATAGGAAACGAAGACCATAACTCGTATCACGTGACGCCATGAGCAGCAGATAAAACGCGGCTAATTTTTTTACTTCATTTTTTTTCAAGTGTCATTACCATAATAACGTAAACCACGAGCACGTAGGTACATACACGAGCCAGAGCTGAATCAGATATTTGATTTTCCAGCCTGCATTAGTCGTGAGACAAATGATTCAACACAAGCATTGGGTCTGAACTGAGTCGAATTAAACTTTGGCACTAGACGTGTCCCATACCACGGCTGATCGACTGGACGTGCCCGACAACACGGCTGAACAAGTCCGACCCTGGTGCTAGACGTATCCGATACCACGGCTGGTCACGACTGGACGCGTCTGAAAACACGGCTGAACAAGTCCGACCCTGGCGCTAGACGTGTCCCATACCACGGCTGATCACGACTAGACGCGTCTGACAACGTGGCTAGACACGTCCGACCCTGGCGCTATACGTGTCCCATACCACGGCTGGTCACGACTGGAAAATCTCGGACGGATCTAGATAATTATTTCAACGTGAGGGTCGATGTCGAGTGTTTGCAATGATTTTCATTGTTTTTCAACTGGAATTATAAAAAAAACACATGGAATCGACTTTCATCAAATTCTTACCCAGTCGGTAAAACAGTGTTTTCCTTATCGGCATGGCTTATTTTCATGATTTCAACGTCTGCACACGTCATGCGGCAGCAGTTGTCCCGAAATTTTCATTGACTCAACCGTACCTTGTACCTCAAAACCGGCACCGGCCCGTACTTGTTGTTTAGAAACAATAAGACAAGGACAGAGCATGTTTCCAAAAACTCACACACAATGATAAAACGTCATCAGTCAGAATGATACTTCAGTTCACCAGCTTCTAGATGAGATGGCAGTGCAGATTAACCGGATCACCGTCCTGAACATGGTGACAGAAGTGATGTAAAAACGAATCTTGCGACAACAATGGAACAGATCACAAATGTGAAATAAAGACGCTCTCTGTTGCACCACGAGTTTCATACCGACAACAAAAAATTACGTCGGAAGGCAACCAAAAACCGCAAAAGAAATATGTGCGCGGCCACACGATCCACGGAGGCGTTGAGTAAGCGAATCGATGGAGGCTACACACAGGTCCGACACAGGTCGACTTCATGAGATGATCATTTCGAGAGACTTTGCCTGGGGCACGCTCCCGTTTCACCTTACTCGTCCCTACCTTTACGTCGCTTCTCAGTATGGGACGAACGTACATGATAGTGACCGCGCCGATACTCGAAACGGCATCCGGCCTGACATGCAGCGGCTCAGACACGCACGGGCGCGGCGCCGGGTGAAACCGGAGCTGGATCCGGGGTCGGAGTCGGCGCTGGATCCGGAGCCAGAGTCGGTGCTGGATCCGGAGCTGGAGTCGGTGCTGGATCCGGAGCCGGAGTCGGTGCTGGATCCCGACCCGGAGCTGAAGCCGTAGCTGGAGCTGGAGCTGGAGCTGTAACTGGAGCTGGAGATGAAGCTGGGCTGGAGCCGGAGCCGGAACCGGAGCGTCATCAGGGCAGTTTAGGCGCGCACCGTCGCGGCGCTGGGTGAGGCTGGAGTTGGAGCCGGAGCTGGAGCCGGAGCTGGGGCCGAAGCCGGAGCCGGGGACGGCGGCGATCCGGGTCTCGGACGCTCCGCCTGCCGGTAGACACACAGCTCTGCCAGAGGTTACAGGGAGGGAACTCCGGGGCGCCAGGCCACCCACACGGCGTCGACAGAGCGTCACGCCACAGCCGCCCAGCTGAACAAGCCGCGTCAGAGGCCCGACAGGACACGGGGCCCTTCTGGAAAGCAATCGCAACGTGGACAATGTTCAAGGTATTGCAGTCGTGATATCCAGCCATGCGACACCATAAACATGATCTCAGATGTCCGGTGATCTGAAGAACAAATCAGCCCGCTGTGTTGGTGATTGCAGCTTCCTCATTTATCATACAATCACCAAACTACATTATACTTCCACTGACTAGTTTCGCACTCATTATATGTTGCTATATCTTGGTATCAGGCACTTACATATGACGTCCGTTTCACAACATGATCTAAGTGGCGGTTTCTTGGCAGAAAATGATGATATAATAGGTAAGAGAGTCATAACTGTAATGGCTTTGTAATCTTAGATAAGCTAACTTATGTGCACAAGGCTCAGGCTATTCTTCACGGCGAAGACGGTTACGAAAAACTGAATAAGGATCCGGTCCCTCAGGTAGAGGCTAAAATAAAAAGATCTCTGAAGAGCACAGTTAGCGGAAAACTTTCGGAAAAAAACATCAAAGATCTAACACACGGTAGTGCGCCTGTGTGCTATGGGCTGCTGAAAGATACTAAACCTGCAGTGCCCCTTACACCCGTGATACCTGCTTCCCAAGCGTCTGTGGCACAGCAAGCCTTTTCAAGGGCTTCCAATCATTCACAGGTAGGAGGGCTGCCAAAGGGCAGCATTTTCTTCCGTGTAGATGTTGTCAATTTATATGGCAATATACCAGTCAATGAGGCTATCGCTGCCGTGAAAGCTACGGTACACGAACATTTCCATGAAACTGATGCTTCCGGTTATCAAAAGAGTATATCTGCGATCTTTTAGAGCAATATCTTCAGGATTATGTTTTCTCGTTCGGGGATGACTACTATGGACACAAAGTGCGCGTGCGCCCCTCCTCTGGCGATAACATTTTTAGACCGATCTGAAACGAAGGCCCGGGCCGCCAGCCCATTGGAGTCAACTAACCTAGCTTTAAACATCGATGATTACGCTGGAGTATGGACGCACGGACAGCGTGCTCTCGGATAATTTTTAGAGTTCATGAACAATCAGCATCCCAATTTAGCCTTTACGATGGAACATACCGGGGACGGAAAGTAGACACATATTTGGATATATTAGTGTCGGTAGAAAGGAGTAGCAACCGCACAACGTTAGAAACGGAGTTCTTTATCAAGCCCACCAACTCTGGTACAATTCTGCACTGCCAATCTGCGCATCCAACTTCCATTAAGCACAATTCAATTCGAAGCATGTTCCATAGGGCTCTTAACAATGCAAGTAGTGAAAAGAAGGAAACAACATATACAAAGCATGGACTTTGCTGTTGGCCGAGGAATGTTCTCCACAACTTTTAGGTAGAACGTTGGCAGAGGTCAAAACATCCAGAGCACGTGGGGGGAGGGGGAGGGCGGGACGGGGACGAGGACAAGTCCTGTCGAGCGACAGATTCCTCACATTGCATTACATAGGTGAGCAGTTGCTTTGGAAAATCAAACATACCGTTCGGGAGTCAAAACTGCGCGTACGCATAACTTGGAAGAACGATACGCTTGAAAAGCCTCTGATGAAATATTCTATCTCGGATCCTTAGTTAGTGTCGGGGGACGATAGGTGTCATTTATGCAAGTCCGGGTTTCAATGGGTTTACACGCAAAACACGTGGTTTACGAAAACAAGTGTTAACTGTGTGAAATACAGCGGAGGGATATGACAGAGGAGGTCTATGTCAGGAAGTCCATGCGCCCTGTTCGTCTGAAATATCATGAACACCTGCGAGATACTAAAAACAAAACAGCGCATACGCCTTTCGGCGACCCTTTTTGACAAAAAAAAACGTAGACTGAAATCCAGGGAGGTATGGGCGCGTCATCCCTTTTAGAGCTCAAAGCCGGCTACAGAGCACAGGACCATCCACACAAGAAAATAAATGAATCTGTTCTTATAAGAAGTCAGCCACCAGACCTTAACGTACAACATCAAGGCCGATTATACGAATGTGATTAGTGCCTTAATGTACAATGTGCGCTACTTGAGAATCGTTTACATGTATGGGCGATGCCTGGCGCGTGATACGCGATACCTGTTTAACTGAAATCGTTTACATGCATAACTGATGCGAGATGCCTAATGCCAGTTTACTTAAAATTGTTGTCTTGAAATCGCTTGCTTGCATGAATGTTGTGTTATGCGTGATGCCTGGTAAGCTGAATTCGTTTGCGTCTACACGTAATTTTCGCGTATTTTAATTCTTCGATGCGTACTTTATAATAGAAATGGCCGGCAATTGCTCCCTGTTAAATCACCCCAATGTTAGTTATCTATATGAACTGTGGCTCGCTGTCGAAAAAAGAAAAATCGAGCACGGTCGGCATGCAATTTTGAATTTACTGCTGCTGTTTGTCTCGATAAGGGCATGTAGCTGAAATATAGCATCTATCTCTTCATTCTCCCGTTCATTCTACGCGGAATAAGGCTATTAATACTGTCTCATCTATATGCATGCTCCTCGCAACTGCACTTAGCAACTTGGGCATCGAGATTATTACAAAATCAAACACTTGTTTTGCAATGGCCACTACATCACCCCAGTCGGCAGCACGTGCCGGCTTCAAAACATGAGGCACGAGGCCCAGAATGTCCCAACGGCGTCCAAGGGTGGCCGACAAGCGGCGGCCGGCTATGGCGCCATCCACAGCTGGAGCCAGCGGCGTCGCCGGGCCGGACGCCCTGGAGCTGCGCTCTCACCTGGCGCGTCGTCAGCAGGCCGACGCCCATGGCCTTGCGCAGCGCGGCGGGCGCGGCCACCCGGCCGGGCGGCGCCCGCCGCACCAGCTCCGCCAGACTGCTCGCCACGTCGTCGGCTGTAACGAAACAACCAGCGCCGGTTGATGCGCGTGCGTGCCGGGAGGGGCGCGCGCTTCGTAAACGTGTCACGGGCGGCGTGCTGGGAAGATCGGAACGGCGTCCAGGTGGGCGCAAAATGAGGCACAACTATTGGCGCAACTTGAAGCAACAATCACCCAACAATCAGCAACACGTGCCTGTCATTGGTGCGCATGCCAGACATATGCAAAAGTCAAGTTGAACTTCCAGCAAATCTGTCAAATCTGACCGAGGCACAAATAGCCAGCCTTGGGACAGTTTTGGCGTCTGCCCGTAAACCCTCGGCAAGATGTGTACTGAATGGCATGCAGCCCGAACGGTGGACATTCGGCATTTAACCCGAGAGCAATAGAGACCCCCATTTGCATGGGTCAGTTCAAACCAATCGCCAAAGCCGCTGGGGGAAAATGATATACAATTCAGGGTAAATACAAACCTTCCAGCCCATTGTCATGTGTCATTCCAGCAGGGCCAAGCCATCTGGCATTCGCCATAAGCGCAGTATTTGCTGATTTCGGTTTTGCCTCGGTCATATCTATATCACTCAAAATGTGTCTAGGGGTTCGAGACATCCCAAATTATCCGCGCGTGCGTCACTGTAGCGGCAGATGCCTGATATGATGCACAAATGACGAACCCGTTTTCTTCTGCCGTACATCTCCCACCGGTCTCGCACGGAACCGTGTGTGCTCACCGAGTTGGACCTCGTGCTGGGAGGGCGGCAGCGGTGCCGCCTCGGGCGGCTGGCTCAGCCGCCGCACCTGGACGGCGTTCAGCGAGCTCAGCAACTCGGAGGTCTGGTCTAGGCGGTCCTGCGTGTCGCGGTGGCGCCGCTCCTCTGCCTCTGTCGACCCAGCCAGCGCCCAGGCGGTCAGCGGCGGCGGGCGGCGGGCGGCGGCCAGCGGCTCCGCGCAACACTCGCGCTAACCGACCACGCGAGCCGACACGGCCCCTCGAACGGGCGTGGAGACAGACAGGGCCTTCTCTTGAGAAAGGAAGCGACCAATGGTGGTGAGGAGGCCGTGCCGGCTCATGGGCTGGGTGCGAACTAGCTGCAAACAAACGGCAGGAAGGGGGACTGACCACTGAACCGGGATGCAGAGACCAGTTTTTATCAGCTCTACCTTAATATTGAGCTCGCAGCAGATACCGCGATGGCTAAAAGGTATCACACCAGTGCTCGGCTCCCCTTTCCAAGCCCCTCTAGTACAGCTAGTTCACTGGGATCACGACCGGTGCACACTCAGCCCACGATGGCCGTCTGGCGGCCCGCTCTTCCCTGCAGGCCGTCCGACTCACCGAACTGGTCCAGAAAGCCGACGTCGATTCCGAGGTCAGTGAGGGAGCGCAGGGCCGAGAAGTCGACGGCGGGGCGGCCGGCGCTGGCGGCGGCGGCCGGCTGCCCGAAGGCCTGGTCCTGCTCGGCCAGACGGCGGCGCTGCTCCGAGCGCCGGTGCTGGCCGTCCGTCAGCGCGTCCAGCAGGCTGTCCACCATCTCCACGGCCACGTCGCAGTCGTCGGCCGCCTGGCGCACGCTGCAGACCGACGCGAAGCAGTGTCGGACGCGCCGGCCGCGACGGAGTACGGTGGCGACGGCGAGCAACGGGCGGGAACCGACGCCGGGACAACAACGCGGCAGCCACACCACATCGGGCCGGTCTGGCTGGTTCGGTGTTCGGCTGAGCACGCAAGACTGAGACACGGCTCCCGCTGCCGCGCATTGCGGCACCAGCTAGGAGATGGGCGCTCACTGGAAACCATCGCGTACAGGCCTAAGGGCCGGAGCATGGCCGGATCTGAGGCGAACATGGAGCGTAGCCGATACGGTGGTGGCGGCTGCAGCTGTCCCACCGAGTCACCTGCGTGCCAGTTCTCCAGTCTGACCGCCCGTCGGTTACCTGTGCGCCAGCTGTCTGGTCTGACCGTCGCCGCACGCCTCGAACAGCAGCTCCGACTCGCTGTAGCTGATCGTGGCGAACGTCGAGTCGTAGTTGGGCGCGAACGAGCTGTACGCACCGTAGTACAACGGCTTCACTGCCGGACGCACAGCAGATTTCCAGTCAGTGTCAGCCGGGCCAAAAAGATCGCGGGGACTGTCGCTGCCTCTCAGAACCACCCACCGCTGGCTGGCAAGCGTGCCAGGAATGGACAGGTGCACCCACATCCTAGGGTAGGGCTTTACGACCTGCGTGAGACCTTTAGACGCAATCAGCAAGAGATACACAGACTATCACTTTGTCCGAATGGTAGCCGTGCCATTTTTATTGGAATGGTGTAACAAATGGCCCAGTTCCCCTGCACCTGTGACGACAGAAGTCGTCCCACTGCAACATGCACATGTGACGACAGAAATCGTCACACTGCAACATGCACATGTGACGACAGAAATCGTCACACTGCAACATGCACATGTGACGACAGAAATCGTCACACCGCAACATGCCCATGTGACGACAGAAATCGTCACACTGCAACATGCACATGTGACGACAGAAATCGTCACACCGCAACATGCACATGTGACGACAGAAATCGTCACACTGCAACATGCACATGTGACGACAGAAATCGTCACACTGCAACATGCACATGTGACGACAGAAATCGTCACACTGCAACATGCACATGTGACGACAGAAATCGTCACACCGCAACATGCACATGTGACGACAGAAATCGTCGCACTGCAACATGCACATTCCCAACGCACATTGCTGCGGAGCAAACCCTAGACGGGGCCGGCCAGCGCCAGCACCACAGTCCGCCACCGTTCCAGCGACCGGAGGCCGAGACTGGGGGGGGGGGGGGCAACTCCTCTGAGCGACGCGGAGCCGACTCACCGGGCTTAGCGACGTTGCGTTTGTCGTCTCTGTAGGGAGGTAGATGGGGCGCACCCTGCGGCAGGCGGCCGGCCAGTGCGCCGACCGTCAGCACACGCTCGGCGCGCTCTCCGCCCACTGGCGTCACGATCGCTAGCGATGTGGTGCCATCTATCCGCTGGCGCAGGAAACCCAGCTGCAAACAGCGACCACCAGGGCGCGTAAGGACGCATTTCAGCCGGCGCAAGACGAAGTTGCAGAATTCATGCAGTTTCTAGTGCACTGTCTTGGCATTTGGGCCATCGAAAAAATTGTGACGACACGCCACAGACGCGCCGCAGACGCCGGGTGCCGTCCCGACAAACACACAACGCAAACAGACACACGGACACGGGGCGGGCAAATGCCAAAATATTTTGGACCCTCAGACTCTCGGATTTTGGTCCACCATGCTCAATTCCACAGCGTCTTCACTCAAACTAACGGTCGTACCTTGGCGGATGCGGCGGCTGTGGCGGCGGCGGTGGCTGTGGCGGCGACGGCAGTCCCGGCTGTGGTGGCAGTCCCGGCTGTGCTGGCAGTCCCGGCTGCGGTGGCAGTCCCGGCTGTGCTGGCAGTCCCGGCTGCGGTGGCAGTGCCGGCTGTGGTGGCGATGACCGAGGCGGAAACAGTGGCGGGGGCGGCGGCGGAGGCAGTAACGTTGGCGGTGGCGGCGGTGACGGCGGTGGCGGCGGTGGCGACAGTGACGGCGGGGGCAGCGGCGGCCGAGAGCTGGCACACGGACTCGACGGCGGACGGCGGCGGCGGCCGCGTCTGCCTCTTCTCAGGCGGCTCCGGCGGCTCCGGAACTGTCCTGGCCGCTCTGGTGGCTCGAGCCGGCCCCCTACACGACATCGACCGTCATCATGAGATCCAGCCTGACCGGTGACGAGCTCAGGCTTTACCTGCTGCCTAGCGCGCCATTTAGGAACCCGTCCTCACATGTCGCACATGGCTTGGTCAGGCGAGAGCCTTCCATCACCGGGTGTGGAAGAAGTTGCGGAGCAAACTCAGACTCTGGGTGCACCCAGCATCCCAAACATTCGAAACATCAGAAAACTTGTTCTCGAAAAAGCTACCTGAATAACGTGGATTTGTTGTGGTGAAGCCTACCAAAATGACCAGTCTGCCACCCACGTGGATGCTACGCGGTTGCAGTGGCACCTGGTTGTCTGTCGGAGGCTATCACTTCCGAGCTATGAGCGGCTGATCCAGTCATGGAATATTCCTGAATATCGATGCGATTTATGAGGCCTGACTTAAGGTTGATGATAATTTATACACTTAAGCATAACACGCATCTGTAATGGAATGAGTTCAGGAATGGATTGTGCATGTGCTGGAGTGAATGCACATGTGAATCACACTATTGCATATGCGCATGTGTTAGTGTGAACTGGTGTGCTGTGGCGTTGAGTTGATTTGCAGGAATTACATCTGCCACTGGTTGATGTTCGCATGATACAATTATGATCTATTTTCAGTGCAACACAAGTTTTATAATGAGACACTGCTGCCGATGTACTTCGACGTGATGTGATGATGGGACGAGTAGATGTGAGCTGCATCCACACGTCTTTTAATTGGCGCTCTCCGTGTGGTAGCTCTGATCCCGCTGTGGAGCCACACAGCAGGCCGGGGGCACCTGAAGTTGGCTACACTTTACTGATAGGTGTTTTGATGGACGAAAGGCGCAGACCTTATTATAGCATACAGGGAGGAGGGGGGGGGGGAGGGACCACGCCTTAAGGCGATTCCACACCTCATGTGCTCGCGCAACTCAGTAACATAGGGTGATAATTAAAGTTGGGAATTCGAATTCTCAGGATATGAATACACTATAATTCGTAAGTTTGAAAACAAGGAATCGAATCTTGAAAGCAAGGACATTAGGAGTACAGTCACGAAAATCACAGTTGAATCCTGACAGACGTCATTTAAATATGCTAACAAATGCAGCGAAATCTTTTCGGTGCTCAAATCTACTTCAGATGAACTGGATGGACTGGATATAATACGTATATGCCACATCGGACTGCCTCGCCCGTCCTACGTGTTATTATATTGAACGCCGCGGAAGTGGGGGGGGGGGGGGGGGGGACGCCTTTGAGCGACTAAAAATCTACATAATCGGTTTAAAACTGGAAGCTACACGACGTCAAAGTTCCGATACCATGAGGTAAGATGCTCGATTGTTATAAAAACAATCCGAATCTTTAAGCCCAACCAGAATCTACCCACTTGGAACCCACTTGCCTTGGGCTATCAAATTGTAGCGAGTCGTCATCTTAACTGGTAACCAAGGACGCCAAATACAGCTACTGATCACCGCCCACAATCTCCTGTAGCTGACCGTTAGGTGCACCAGATCCCAATTTATCCACATCAAATCATCAGTTCGCCCTCTCGAAATTAGCGGGATTCCAGCCGGATCTTCCGCTTACGAGCTCAGCATTCTGCCAGTGAGCTGACCGAGGAGACCCCGCCACGAAGCCAGCCAGGAAGCCTCCCCGCCTTCAGAGGCCTTCGCCGCCAGCTCAACAGTAGTCTGCCTAACTAGAAATCAGAATAACCCGGTTCGAACGCTGGCAATGCCAGCACAAAAATCTGGGCGCGTACATAATCGCAAACGAGACACCATACATTCAGTCCCAAGACTCAGCAGAATTTGAAGAAGCCCGATAATTAACTGGCCAAAACGTTGGACGATGGTCCCAAGACTTAACTCATCCGCAATGCTTGAATTCGCGTTCACTCGGTTAAGTGGTCGCCTGGATCCAGCTCCCCACTGCAAAACGCCATCTAGAAGTATTAACCTGCGACGTCATAGAAAAGTGCGTCACAACAGGTTCTACGCCTTGGATTGCAATCGTTCAGTGTATCGTCAGTGTAATCGTACAGTGACGTCAGTGTATGGTGTAGCCACTTGTGAACCCATAGCCCATAGGTGTCGTCGTAGCCCACAGGTGCCGTCGTAGCTCACAGGTGCCGTCGTAGCCCACAGGTGCCGTCGTAGCCCACATGTCCCGTCGTCGCCCACAGGTCGCGACCTCAGGCAGGTACTTTGCCAATGAAAAGTTGTCCCCCAAGTTTCGCCCAAAACTCAACGACTTCGTCTCTGGATGGCCTTGCACGCCAACCGGTCAAAGCACCCGCGGCGCTGCTACCAACCCGAATCGCCAATCGGAGGACCCTGCGCTCACAGTCCTCAGGCACGATTGTATCCGTATACCATAATAGGAGCTGCCGTTTGTGAGGTGTGCGAGACCCACCCTGGCGTGACCTCGACCTTCAATGACCCCTACATCACCGCTGACAAATCTCAGACAAACTGGTTCATAACGTGACGTTTTGGGAGAGAGGAGCGGGTCTACTTCCAGGTCTGATGAGATGTAAACTTCAACTGAAATTCCCTTACACACCCGCAGCACAGCGATACTGTTCCTGATGCACCTTCAGCGCAACTGGATAAGACGCAGTACACGCGGGGCGTCGCAGGCGCCGTTTCTTCCCAATTTTCACAGCGTGGATTCATGCGGACGAGGTCCTGGGTGCCTGACATGGCTAAAGCCTTCAACTTCCAGGTCACACGTAAAAGGTTGGAAGCTCGGATACCCAACATAGCAATCTAATGTTCCTAATAGTTTCTAACAGAGACCAGACAGCACAGCATCTGTGGGAACTGAACGGGTGTCTCCTCCCGCGCTAGCGAAGGTCGAAAGCAATGTACAGAGCGCAAGAAGCTTTCGTGTAAACACTCATGCCTATGGCAAGCCGATATATATATATATATATATATATATATACATATATATATATATATATATATATATCTACATATATATATATACATATATATATATATATACATATATATATATATATATATATATATATATATATGTACATATAAACACTACAATGTCCAGCGACGTGTTTCGCTATCATACCTTCGGAATGATCTCAAGCCAGCTCCAGCATCTATCTTTTCTAAAACAAGGTGCGGCTGTTTCATTGCCAAAGCGCTGAAATAGACAAGAAGCGCCCATCTCACACGACAGCCAAAATCAAACCAAGCAAAGGGAAGGAGCGCTCCACCACACCAGGCCTATCAACATGCAGTAGGAGGTCAACGCGCCACGAATACAGGGCGACCAAGGGAGAAACACGGGCAGCAATGGCATCAGTAAATGCATAGCGTAATATGCAGCTCGCAGTGGAAGCATAATTACACTAATCACAGGAGAAGCAAACAAAGATGTCCGCCTGTCGTCGGGAGACACGCGGACAATGTAATCCCCACAGCCCGCATAGCATAACCTGTTTCGTGGGTTGAGCTCTGACTGGGTCTGGCTGGTGATGGTTGCGGTAGCGGCGTGGGACAGGCGCTGCACATTCACTGCCGAACCCAACCGGCCGCCTGCCCGCCGAACTGACCTGGCGACGCTGTCGGACGGATCGAAAGTGTCCATCGGCTCCGGCTCCGGCTCCGGCACCGGCACCTGCTCCGGCTCCGGTCTCGGGCGCCGCTCCGGCTGCCGCCGCCGCAGCTCCACCTGCGTCATCGTCGGCTCATCCACCGGCGCGCCCGACGGCTCATCGGCCCCCCGCATGGGATCAAGCTCAGCCTGCTTCGGCCCCGAAGGCCGCTGCAACGGCTCAGGCTTTTCCTGCTGCACCTGTTCGGGCTTTGCTTGCTGCGCTGGCTGGGCCGACTGAGGCTCGGGCCGCTGGGTCGGCTCCGGCTTGCAGTACTGCTCCCGCGCAGAGCCGGCCCGCGTGGTGCGGGTCCCCCGCACAGGCCCCGAGGAGCGACGCTCGTCGGCCGCCAGCCTCGGGCCCGGTTCGGCCGGCTCTGGCTCGGGCCGCTGCGCCGGCGCCGCGGGCTCGGCTGCTATCGGTCGCGCCTGGCGAACCCCGTCCGCGCGCCGCTGCTGGGCAGTGTCCGCCCGCCGTGGCTGGGCAGTGTCTGCCTGCTGGTGCTGGGCAGTGTCCGCCCGCTGCTTCTGGGCAGTGTCCGCCCGCCGCTGCTGGACCGTGTCCGCCTGCTCCTGCTCCTGCCGCGGCGTGTCTGGCTGCAGCGGCTGCCGCTGTTGCTGCTCTTGCGAAGTGTCCGGCTGCTGCTGCTGCTGCTGCTGCTGGAGAGTGTCCGGCTGCAGCTGGGTGTCCGGCTGCAGTTGGTGCTGCTGGTGCTGCTGGTCGCGGTCCAGCAGGTCTGCTTCCACGCCCAGCACGTCAGGAGGTAGATCAGCCATGTAGGGCAGCATGGAGCGCAGCGCGATCACCTTGTCCGAGCTCATCATCTGCCAAGGGCCCAGATAGCGAGGCGTGGCATGACGTCGCTCGGCCGAACAGACGCCAGGGTACAGGCGGGGGGGGGGGGGGGGGGGCAGAGTCAGAAGGGCCCACGCCCGTCCCAGCAGCGCAGTAGCCAGCCAATGGCACGAGCGTCTCGCAAATACGCAGATTACGACAAAAGACGAAAGGGTAGCTGGTCGACTTGATGCAGTCCAAAAAACAGCGATTTTGGTCCACAAATATCCACAAATATGTATCATCCCCATGTATCCACAAATAAGAGGCAATCAGAAAGTCACAAACACACAGTGTACGTAGAAATACATCACTACGTTCAACTGAACTTGCTCGCATGCGGTCTCCCTGTAAGTGCATTTTTTTAGAGAGAGCGACCATTTTTCCAAGGGCACCAGACCAGCACCACAGCGTTTAAACCCAGTTGCTTAGGCAAGGACACCGACCTTGGAGCCGATGTGCAGCAGTCGCTTGGCGGTGCGGTAGTAGATGGTGTCCATGCGGTTGTAGGTCATGGCGTTACAGCACATCAAACGAAAGTCCTCCTGCCGAGCACACCACAAAACATTAGCTTTAACGCCGACACTGTGGAGGAACACGCGCAGGGGCCTAACCAACCACACACACGCACCCCCCCCCCCCCATATATATATATATATATATATATATATATATATATATATATATATATATATATATATATATGCACTATCAGTAGCATGTTTTTTGCGTCAGGCCACGGTGATCTGATCCCAGCAGTGAGTGTTATGGCCACGTCGATGAAAACAAAACTCACGCAAAGGTAGGCAGTCACCCCTTGAAGTAATGAAAAAAGGTTCGGTACTGGATTCGAACATGACTCTCTCATGAGTTTGGCTAGCACAGTCCAAAACCGTCCGTGATTTGTGGGTTGTACATACGCCTACACCACGCAGCAGGCTTCATGGCTTTATCTGCTGATTGTCAACATCTGACGAGAATCCCTAAACACGACAAAAACTCAGGCGCAGCCTGGGTCTGTGGCCGGCAGCGCGCACTGGTCCGCACACATCGGCCCGTAGTCGAGCCAGCACGAATTATCATTTTCTGGTCAGTTCTAGTCAACCTGGTGTCGCTGTGACGTCAGGCAAGCGAGATACGGACCTGTTCCTAGTCCGTGTAAGATCCAGCCCTGTTCCTAGTCCGTGTTAGATGCGGACCTGCTCCTAGTCCGTGTTAAATATGGACCTGTTCCTAGTCCGTGTTAGACCCGGGCCCGCTCCTAGTCCGTGTTAGATGTGGACCTGCTCCTAGTCCGTTTTAAATATGGACCTGTTCCTAGTCCCTGTTAGACCCGGGCCCGCTCCTAGTCCGTGTTAGATGCGGACCTGCTCCTAGTCCGTTTTAAATATGGACCTGTTCCTAGTCCGTGTTACATCCGGGTACGCTCCTAGTCCGTGTTAAATCTGGACCTGCTTCCAGTCCGTGTTAGATCCGGGTCCGCTGATAATCCGTGTTAAATCTGGACCTGCTCCTAGTCCGTGTGAGATCCGGGCCCGCTCCTAGTCCGAATTCTTCAGTCCTTTCAAAGTTTGGAAGTGTTTTCTTTCCATGTCAATGGAAGGGAAAGGTGAAATCGAGGTGATAGTTGAATGTTGCAGGGAAAATCGTCCTGATCAGACATCATGCATGCAAACGGTCAACGATCTGCGCATCATCACTTTCGACAAAAAATTACGCAGCCCATTAACTGCAAGCTGTGAATGACCAGTGGCTGCAAAAAGTAGCTCCCAGCAAACGCGACGGCTGGGCCGGCCCACTCCAGTTACAAAGTGTACCATAACCATTCCCTCTGCAATCCAAAAACATCCCCTGCCCTCTTCGTGCGCAATATATCGACAACCAAGATTTTCATGAACAAGCTGCGAGAAATCTACAGCAAGCCACTTAAGATTTTCTTCAACAAGCAGCAACATTGCTTAAACGCTGTACTTAAGTCTTTTCCAGGCGTTTCCATGCCAGCTTTTCCGTCAAGCTTCGTCTTCGTCCAATATTCCAGTATGGCACAAATTTATATTTAAAGAAGAAACAACGCACGTCGCTGTGAACCCTTTAGTGCTCGGCAACTCTAGGTTGATAAGTGTTCGGATGAATATATCGTAAATATCCGATTCGTGTTTATAAATACCGTACCAATGGCACCAAAACGTCGCCAATCAATCTAACGTCCCATCAAGGTCTTTCTGTCATATTGTAAAATGACATTTGATGCGTAGAGACCGGTTCATCTCACTTGATGTACCAACACCGACCATTGGACTAACGAACGGTCGCCACTGTCCCGGCCTGAGCTGCGCCCGAGAGGGCAGCGGACTGACCTTGAAAGCGGCCAGGCCGGCGTAGTGCCCGGCCTCCACATTGGCGGCGATGGTGCTGAAGTCCATGGGCGTGTCGATGATACTCGAGTAGCCTGGCGCTACGTCATCAGTAACCGGCACACTGAAGAAGCCCCGCGTGTCCTTCTCGCGCAGGCCGCGCAGCAGGTGTTCGAGGAAGCGGCGCAGCGGCGGCCGCCCGGCGCCCTCTTCCTCCTGCTCCTGCTCCTGCTGCACCGGCGGCGGCGGCGCCTCCTCGTCAGCGTCCATGGCCAGCGGGGGAGCCGAGCCGGCCGGCTCCGGAGACGAGGCGGTGCCCTGGCTGGGCGCCTCGGTGCCCGAGCTCTGGTCCTCCATGCCGGCCGGCGACAGCTCCTCCTGCGGCCGCCGCTCCGCCTGGTGGCACCAAAGGGAGGTAGCCTCGCGCCCCACAGGTGGAGTCACGCGCGCGCGTACCTGGCGGACTAGAATGACTGCGCCTCATGGACATCTCGAATTATGGACATTAGTCCCTAGGTCCCTACGCGCCGACTGGCAAGAAATAACAAACAAACAAAAGGTATATCAGCCCACCTACTTAAGGCGACTTCCAAGGCCCCTGGGTGGTCACGCACACGGCAATTACGTAACCGAGGGCAGGAGAGGGGGGGGGGGGGCATGATGATCAGTGTGATGTTTTCAGCTGTTTATACCGTTATCAAATAGCCTGCGAACTACACAACACTGCTGCATGCCCCTTACATCAAAGTCAAACCCATGGACAACGCAACAAACACAAAAGTACAGAGCAATTGGAAAACGTCAGATGAACATGCCATTGTTCGGACTATTCAACACCTCCACACTACATCGAAGCAGCGGTAGGAGCACACACACCTTCTTGTGTTTGTGCTTTTCTTTCTCCTTCTTTTTCTTCTTTTTATGGCGGCGCTCCTTATGGTGCGTCTCGGCCTCGCTAATGGCCGCCATGCTGAGCCGGAGCGGCGCCACGGACGGTGGCGGTGTCTGAACGCGCGGGTCGCCGCCCTCGGGCACCGGCGAGCTGCCCACCTTCAGCACCAGCTTCAGGCTTGGTGGCCGAGACACGGGCACCTCTGTCGCACACACCGTCCCGGTCACTCAGCCGCGGAACATAAGCCTTTGTCGCACGCACCGTTCCAGCAAGCCCATGACGCGGGCACCTCTGTCACACACACAGTCACGGCCATACAGTCACGACACGAGCAACTCTGTCGCACACACAGTCACAATCATACAGCCACCACACGGGCCCCTCTGTCGCACACATAGTCACGATACGGTCATACAGTCGCGAAACGGGCCCCTCTGTCGCACACACAGTCACGGCACGGTCATACTGTCGCGACACGGGCACCTCTGTCACACACACAGTCACAGTCATACAGCCACGACACAACAATTCTGTCGCACACACCATTCTGAAGCGAGGCTGCGACATGGGCAGCTCTGTTGTACGCACAGTCCCGGCCACACAGATGGGACACAGAACCACTGTTGCCCACACAGTTCCAGTCACAAGGCTGCGGCAATGCAGTGTAAAATCATGCATATATGCATTTTTATGGTGTTGTACACCCTAGATGTGGGTAATCATATATTAGATGTGATAAAAGCATTGACAATGAGGCTACTTTAAGATGCAACTTAAACAACATTACAAGGTTTCCTTGCCTTATAAGAATAGCAAGGAAACCTTACCAAATAAAGGTAAGTTTGGTTTCACTTAGTTCTTTTCTGCTGCTTGTAATGGAGAGGCTGTGACATACTAGGCTGGAAGCAGAGACAAAGACTGATTTCTACTGTTCCTCTTATGTCCATTGTCCTCCCCCTACTAATCTAAACATTCCTGTGGCTTCTCCATCCTCCTCTACATTCCTCAAAGCTCACCTCAAACCTTCTCCAGCCTCCTTCAAAATGAAAGCTGGTTTTCCAGAAAAGTTTGGGTGAGACTTCAGTAGACATCAGTAACATGGTTTACTCACATGCTATGCTGGTTCTATTTGTTACCGCAAAACAAAAATGGTGGACATGTGCCTAGACTGGTGGAGGTAGATTAATTCTTAAGTTATTTTTACAGACATGTGCATACATCTGAATGCCCACATACACAGTGTCATGTCTAAAGATGCATAGATGTGTATTTTGTCTAGATGTGTTCTAATAAGCTTAGCAAAAAACTATTTTACATAATCATCCTCTTTAAGGCAAAATATACAATGAGTGATATAATGGATTCACTTACACCTCTACCATCAAGCTTTACAAATTACAATAGCAACAGTCAGAACGCTCCAGAGATGCAGCACACCCGATATAGATGTCATTACAACAGTACAATTTAACCCACAATTCCCCCCAAAAATGTCCTAACTAGGCATATTCTATGCTTCTAAGTAATCTAGGTATCATCTCAAATAACCAGAGCTGGAGTCACAATATATATCCAGTGGAAAAAAATAACACTCCTAACCAGAAGCCCAATTTTAGCCTTCAATCTTACCTTCATAACGTTCCCGCTTATCAGGCTTATGTTCTTTGTGCTTCTTCTCCTTTCCCATTCTGAGCCACTGACCTGGTACATGGACACTGGGTTATCATGAGTGGCTCATTAAGTAACCAGAAGCCAGTTTGCATATACAATTGACCTAATTTACGTCTGTTCATTGCTTAGTTCATTAAGACACGAAATCCCAAACCGTTAATTCAACCCGTTTCATAGCATCAATTCAACCTCAGCCCGGAATATTCAAGGCACATCGCGAAACGCCGGCGTAGGCCTCGCATCTCTTCAAACGGCCTGAATAAACTCAAGGTACTGCGAAAACCGTACAACACTGCCATAAGTAAATACACCAGGCGTTTACGAAACCTTCAGCACCTTTATTCAATTCGATGTGTGATAAAATGTTCAAAAATAGCGTTTCCCCATAGACTTGTCGCACTAACTCCGCTCGCGTATGCGTATTTATTTCGGTATATAAAAACACCACTGGTGGATAAAATCTACGGCAACGCTACCAGTTATGAGAGATTTCCCTCGCTTGCGCCCTTTCTTTCGCTGGGCTATGCAGAAAACCTTTAGTATTTGGTAGCTTTGCAGTGTATTTTTGCCACAAAGGGCGTTTTTTTTCAACTGGAATAAACACGCGTTCCGTTTTCACCACTTCTAATCGCTCTGTGGTTGTGTACATGAGTGGGGTGCCGGACGGTGGGCCCGACAAATATATGGTAATGGATCGAGGAAAGGCTCAGAGAGACATAGAGATAATGTACGGTACAATATGTCACTTGTTATTATATTTGGTGGTTGGAATGTTACACTGGTACGAGGATATTCTTTGTTTGAAAGCCTGAAGGTTAAGGAAACAGTTGCCTTGCAAGTGGGAGCGTGGTACATCATCCAGAATTTGCGAGATGAGGATTCAGGGCATTTTGAGTTGTTTCTATGCGCTTTCATAAACCCGGTGCTGGTTTTTTTAAAAAAAACTACTGGAGGGTTAGTATGCTTCAGTAAATTGATGCATTCTTCAGCCAACATGGGCTCCAATTACAGTGACTGATAAGGGGATAGTTTGAGAGCTGACCAATCTGTAAAAATATTATCTGTGTTGCCTCCATGCCATCTGTTCACTGAAATAGGTGCAGGTGTGAGACAAGCTGAGGGCTGAGAATGCTGGGAGTGGGGCAAATGGAGGGAGTACTTAATGTATTTTGCATGAAAAAAATGTTTCAGGGTGTTTGTGCAGCTTTGGATTACCCTTGCAACACCATAATTTTCTGATACAGTGGCTCTCTGCATGCTGAAGTAAGTGGGGGTCATGGAGCTTGCAGATGGCAAAAGTTTATGGGTTGCATGGCCTGAAGTCATTGCAGCAGTTTTGTGGCCTTGCCATGCTGCACAATATGCATCATTTGCATTGAGTGTCCTGTGTCCACAACATAAGTGGCTACCACAGTCCATGTGTATTTAGGTTCTGATCAGAGCAAAATGTCTTCAATAAAACACGTGCATTGTAGGGGATTTTGATGTTAATGAATTGATGATAATAATTTTTAAAGTCAATTCCACTCATAATTGGAGAACCTGGTCTTCACCCCCTCCCAACATATGCTTAGGCAGGTGCCTTCCCATTGGTAATACCTTTCCCCTGCTCTTTTCAATAACCACAACTTGCAAGTCAGTTTTATGTCTGGGGGACACTGTTCCAAGTTGTGGTGCTGTTAAAGGGAAAGTGATCCTCACTCATTTCTTGCCCCTGCTTAGGAAATGGGCCCACAGAGCTTAGACCAATATGGAGCCAACTGTTTGGTGTTGGTGATCTGTGGTCGAAATAGATAAATGCTATACATGCTATATAAATGCTTCCAGGGTCCTCAACCAATACATGAGACCCTTTAACTGACATTTGAGATCACAGCCTTGGGGGGGGGGTTCTTTACGTGACCTAGAATCATCCCTTAAAGCTCTTTAGCCTGCCAAGTGGGCCCTTAATCTTTGGTTTTGAGGCCCTTTGCCCCTCTTTTCGGACCTCCTCAAACAAAGTCCGTGATCGACGGGGGGCCACTAGCCGACACACGACCCCTGTAGTAGGTACTGTGGGCCCCTGATAGCACAGGGGCCCAATGATTGTTCCAGTGACCCGGACCAATGCAGGTCGTGGCTCCTGGCCTTGCTCCTGCTCGGGAAATGAGCCCCAGGGTTCAGACTGACAGGGAACCAACCGTTCGGTGCTCGTGGTCTCTGGCCGACCGAGACAACTGCATTGTCTCAGGGGTCCTCAAACGCTGCGAGAAAACCTCTGACTGATAGGTCGCAATGGTCACAATGGTCATAGGTCACTGATGGGGCGTGATTCTTTGCGCGACCTACTGCCAGTCCTTTGGGCCCCTGTGCCTTCCAACCGAGTGCTTGATCATCGGTCTCGCTTGGCCGTCCGGGCTCCTCTTCTGGCCTCATCGAATACTGCCCCTTGGTCGGCTTGGGGCCCCTTGCGACTACAGAACCCTCTGCTAGGCACTGTGGGCCCCTGACGCCTGTAAGGCACTGTGGACCCCTGATACAGGGGCCCCGACCAGTGTGAATTGTGGGCCCGGGCTTTGTAGTTGATGGGAAGTGGACCTCCAGCTCCATACCGACACGGAGCCGGCTGTGCGGTACTGGTGGTGCCTGACCGACATAAGGTTCATATCGACTCAGGAGATCCCCGATCGGCGCAAGGGGCCGTCTGACTGTCATTTGGGGACCCGTCCCCGCAAGTTGGCGCCCCTGAATAAGACGACCATCCCTCCTTGCTCTTAAGCCCTCCAATCGGGCCCTTGATCTTTGTCCGCGGTGGGCCCTACAGCCTCATCGGGCCTCCTAGAACTCTGCCTAGGGCCGGCTCGCACCCCTTGCCATCACAGGGTCCCCTTTAAGGTGCTGTGGAGCACTGCAGACTCTGGGGCCCCAACCAATGTAAATCGCTGGCTCCTGTTCTGTCCCTGCCTGTGGATGAGCCCCCAGGCCCATGCGGACGCGGAGCCGACCATGCTTATTGGTTGTGTCTGACCGGCATATGGAAGCTTACCAACCCAGGGGCCCTGAGCAGCCCGCAGGACCCTCCGGATGGCATTGAAGTGTCCGGCGGGCCGGGACCCCTGACTACAACTTCCGGCCGGCTTTCTGGGTCCTTCGGGTCCACAAATCGGTCCCGTAACTTAAGGTCGCGAGGAGCCCTTCGGGCCCCTCGGTATCTAAGCGGGGGACGTGCCCCTGTGCCCCCTGCTTGCGCCGTCATGTGTGAGCCCTGACCCCTACCATCCAATTGCGCAATTCCAGGTTAACAGTAGAATTTGGTGGTGAAAGTTTGACGTGCTGCCGTGCTTGGGAATTATTGATTGCCAACATTTAGTCACGGATCTATTTATGTCATGCATTTGGTAATGCACGTGCCCCGTGGGTACTGTGCGTGCACGCCTCTGGCAATTTGAGTTTTCACCTTTCCCTGAGAAATGCGTAATGTCAGTGATGATGTAGGCACGTAATAATTTATGCACCTCCCTGCCCGGTGTTAAATGAGGTGCTCTACATTTGTACCGGGTTTTGAACTAAAATAGCCATCTTGAGAACCATTCGGTGCAGCTCACAACTCTGCCCTTCTCTGACCTACACCTCTCTAGTATCTGAACTGCACTGTAAAGCAAAAAAAGGTACTGGTTTTCCTGCATGCTCGTGTGCTTTTCCGCGACTTGTCAGACAAACAGTTCCATTTCCGATCTGGTTTGAAAGCTTATGTGACTGTGAAGGTTCCAAGTCTGCGATCAAATGGGTACGTAGGCCAGGGTCCATGGACTGTTGAAAATATAATAGGGCTTTCACTGGATTGTTCATCCAGGTCAAGTGTGATCACAGCAAATGGCATGTTTCAAGCCATCTTATTTTGAGGCAATGACATGCGTGATGTCATTCATTTGCTGTTTGGTATGGCATTACCACCGTGGTGCAATGATCAGACAGTGGCTGAGAATTAAGAAACCCTTGCCCTCCCCCCTTAAATGCCCCAGATGTTATGTTGCTGAAGTTTTGTACTACTTTAAAATGATTCACAAAACTAATTTTTAGGGAACCTACTAAGGACGCAAAATGTCGTTCCTTTGTTGCAGAGATGGCGGTTAACTTCAAGAAGTGCTCCGTTCAGCTGGTGCTACATCTCATCATCGGGATAGCATTGGTGTTGGTGCACATCTTCCAGTCATGCGTGCTGAATTACTACATCATCTCGCCTAAGAAGGACTCGCTGATCGCCTACTTTTGGTTCGCGGCCGACTTCGTCATTCTGTTTCTGTTTATCGGCTCTCTGGCGATCGCGCACCGGTACCTGCGCTTCAAGCACCGTGACCGTCAAGGCGAGTTCCCGTACTCGCCGAAGCGCCTAATCCGGCGCTATCCGCGATCCAAGCTGGGCATCCTGCCTCTTAGCTACGCGTCGTGGGTCGTCTACTCGACGGTGGTGGTAGCCAAGGTGGTGGTGATCTTTACATCAGAGATCCCGAACACGCTGCAGCCGACGGATCGCTGGGGCCCACAGCTGCTCAAGATCGCGATCGCCTCGTCTGGCGCTGTGTTCATGCTGCTGGTGGAGGGCCACCACGACGCCGAGCCAAACTCGGCGCGCAACACCTACATCCGCCTGCTCTGCGGCTCGACCGCGTACGAGATCATGGACTCGGTCCAGTTTCTCAGCCTGCTCATCCTCTCCGACAGCGGGATGATTCTGCCGTTCACGTTGGAGAACACAGTTCTCGTGCTGGCGGCGGTCAACTTCCTGTTGCCCACACTGACGCTCTACAAGCTGAGTCTGTCTGACTTCGGCCTGGAGACCGGCTCGCCATACATCGTGCTCACCTACAAACTGTTACACCTGGCGCTTGTCAACGTCGCGTACATGGTGATCCGCATCAAGCTGTGGGTGTCGCTGGGCGGTGACATCTCCCTCTTCCTCATGAAGAACATCCTGGGCGTGTTCACGGCACTGTACTCGCTGTACCCGGACTTGCTACGACTGTGCGCCGCCTGCCGCCGTGCGCCGCCGCAGAAAGCCGAGCCGGACGAGCTGGAACTGGACGACGTGCACAGCGTGCCGCTCAACCGCGGGGAGCACGCCACGCCGGCTCCGCTCTGAGCGCGCGCGGCCAGGTCGGGTGTGAGGCTGACGAGCGGGGCGCAGCGTTACTCCGAGCGCTAACTGGAGGAGACTGAGCGGGAAGCTGGGAGCGCAGCGTGCATTCGAGCACGAGCTGGGGTACATTGGTACTGAGAATGCAGGAAAGTGAAAATGCAGGAGTATGCAGTTCACACCGCGCCAAAGAACGGGAAGCTCTGAGTACATCCACCTGGGTTGGGTGATAGGCTCCGAGCCTTTCTTCTGACGTGAGTTGCGAACCTGAGAACGCACCTCACGCCGAGCTCGGGAGCGCTGACACAATGTGACCCTGAGCACAGGAGTTCGGAGCTCGCCATAGGGTATACGACCTGACGCTCGATGATCTGCAGTGACACCGTGTGACGGATCGCTGGTTTGTTGGTGACTCACTGCAATACTGTGATGAATGCAAGTGGACTTAGCTTTGTTTTAGGCATGCTTTGCATCCATAATTCTTTGTGGGTTAGTGTGCTGTTGGAGCTTATGCCAAGTGCTAGGGCGTGGATGGACGGCGAGTGAATTAGTTGAAGCTAGGTACCCTGTGGAATGCGGTCTGGATTTTAAGTGTCGTTGGAAGGGGGCAGGACGTCACAAGACATCAGACATCGGCGTGGCTCGTTTGTTGTCGAGACCTCATCTACGTGTTATCACACCTACGTGTCGGGCTAGTCAGCAGAGCGCAGATAATCAAAACGTCTCAGCCAGTTTGTCGTTGCCATGGACAGCACCGCGCAAGTGGTTTTGACCGCGGCAGGTTCATTGCGGCATCGTACAAACAGCACGTGCTGTCGCCGGGCAACGGACTGTCTGAGGCCCAGGTGCGTGTTCTCCGGCCCCGGTCGGAGAGCGCGTGCTGCCGCCGTCCGGGTCGGCATGGTTGAGGCTGTGGCGCGATCGTCTAGATCGCTGACGCAGCGCACAAACGTACTGGGCAGAGGCTGGTTTCCGACACTGCCGTCTCGGCCCGCGTGCTAGGCCGCTGATCACATGCGCTGATGGCGTGGACCTGGAGATACTGAGGTGCCGACCTACCTTTTTTTGCGCTTGCCCTTCGGTCTGAGATTATTTACGTTAGCGTGCAGTAGGAAGAGTAGAGTTGTTAAATCGTTAGCAAAGCTTGCCCATTCATACGTGTTCTTAACACGGAGCGCGGTCCATCTAGAAGTCTCACTTTATTCGCAAGTAATAGCGAATCTCAGGACGGTTCGCTGTGGCAAAACCTGGGGTGTGCATGTGGTTGAAACACGCCCGATCTGCTTAGACGCGTGAAGCTCGTAACGCTTGTGTGCGCATCTTGCACCGATTGTGGCGTTGTGAGGCGATCCACTGTTTTGCTGCCCGCGTTGGCTTTGTCGTGGCCTGGTGCTGTCGCTGCCGGCTCAGGGAAGCGCGCTCTACGCCGTGCTCACGTCGGTGGGACCAGCCGACAGCCAGCACAGCGATTCGAGATGACGTTCAGATGGCGGCGGGTCACAAGTTGATGCGTGGTGTGTCGTATGCAGAGTACGTCTGATGGCGACGTACATCTGTGGAGTGCGTGTTGCTGTGGTGCGCAGGAAACTGGCCCAGTCGTCGAACAAGATTTGTTACTCTGCTTGTCGAACCAAAGCTGGCGGAACTATCGCCGCCCTCTACTTTTGCGTATTGTTGAATTTGGAACAACATATATATATATATATATATATATATATATATATATATATATATATATAGTTGTCTTTTTTGCCCTCAGTCTTGCGGAGGCCAGATACGTCAAGCGCCTAATGCTCACACCCGGAAATCTGATGCTTCTTTTCTACGGGACGTAGTTTTATGTGACACATCTAGACCGCTGCCAGCTAAGCTATGTCAGGATTGTTTGTTCTCTGCGTACTATCTCTTTAATAGCATTGCTGAAGGTGTTGAATTTCTGCGCGACGTTCAGACGGTACGTTATTGGGTCTGACGAAGCATTGTTTTTTTTTTAATTCCGTTATAGATAGGGGGTTTCAGCGTCCCATGTGTCTATGGCGTCGTTACTATTCGCTTGCCCTCACTGTCACAATGACCGTTAAGTTTGACTTAATCATGCGAGGGACAGGGTACCGATCGTCACACTTCGCGTTAGTACTGATTCCTATCTAGCTCAAACCCGCTTTGCAGTGAATTGCGGCGGGCAGATCAGACTGGTGGCGAAAAGAAACAAGGCATGGGAATTACGAACGTGTCGCAACTCACCTTACCTGCAGCCAAAAAATCGTTTGTTGGTCGGCCGTATCCATTCGGTATACTTTATTTGCAAATTCGCTTGAGTCTGTGTGTTTCCGCTTTGCGTTGTCACACGTTGCTACTCTAATGCTATTCGTTTGATTTCTGCACGGTCTTCCACCGCTGTGGTGGCCTGTTCCGCGCACGGTTTTGTGTGACGCGGGGAGGGGCGGCTGCGACGCCGGCCAGCGACGGGCGCGGGCGCTTCCCTCGGGCGCGCGTTGCGCCCCCGTCCGCGTTCCGCGCCGCCGTCGCGCGACTGCTCGCCTGCTGTTCCGGCCATGTCTGCGCGGGCGATGTGCCGCGCATGCGCATGGAGATGTCTGGGCTCAAACTCGCCTGACAATGCATACCGACATCTATTGTTTACCTTGTCCATCGCGACCGCACGATGACCTGCGCACATTGCATTTCAGAAAATATACAGGAAAGAACGGCCTTGCAGCGTTTTATGGCGCCGAACGGCCCCAGTACTTGCCGCCGCGATAGTTATTTATAGCATCGTTTGCAGCATTATCTACAGGTGAGACGCCGTTGTATTTTGAACGCCACATGGGGAGCTACGGACACGTGTGCACTCACTTTTCCAGCGGTTCGGCGCGACGAAGTCGCTGTGCGGGTATGGTGTGATGGGATGCAGGACCAGCTGGTGGCATCGCATGCCCAGCGCTGTGCGGGTATAGTGTGATGGGATGGGGACCAGCTGGTGGCATCGCATGCCCAGCGCGGCGGTCCGATAAGCAGCTTACGATTGCTTTGAGACAGGGGTGTGGTTTCTTGTTCAGTTGGGGCTCCAGCCTGCCTCGCCCCGCCCAAAATTTGGAAGCCAAATAGACCAAAGTCCGGGAGAAACCAGTTTGCTGGCGCGTGCTGGTGGTAAGTTTTGTCATTTTTCACCACGTCCCATCCCCAGCTCGTTTTGTGAAACCACGCTCCCGCGTGAAGTTCTTTGGCAAAGGACCTACCTGAGGTAGCTACCCATGATGACGATAGCTGCTGACGTAGCTACCTATGACGACACAAATGCCGACGCCGCACACACGCCACTGTGCTCCAAGGCGAAGGAAGTTTGAGTTTGAGGAGCTGATGTGACGATTTGAGGAACTATTAGAACGGAGTGAGGAACGTAGGAGCAGTGATGCGATAGACGTTTTGCGGATAGCGACTGACAATGACGCCGTCCTTTGGACTTGGACAAGGACTTGCGTCATCATGAGATGACGTCTGGCAACGGCACCAGGTCCGCGTGGAGAAATAAGAGAAAGAAAAGTGTCTGTGGCTTGGACGCTCTTGTTGCATAGGAAACAATGAAGTGTCTGAGACAACATAGGAATTTATCCGCGAGTGCATGGGTGTAACAATCGGCGCAGGGGAGGGGGGGGGGGGGGGGCGGAAGGGACAGAGGGGGCATGTCCCCTACAATTTTTCCTTATTTAGATTTTGTCCAACACTGCAAGTTTTCACATTTTCCTGTTCAAAAATATTATTTTGGGCCAGGCTATTCCAAAGACTCTAATTTGGACCATCCAATCCTGACCTTGCCCTTACCCTTCCCCGACCCCGAATGTCAAGGGCGCAGCTACCCATGCTCTACTGGACGTCGCCACATCTTTAATATTGCTGCATCCATTTGTGCTTGATTGTATGTGATCACATCATGAAAATTGTCGAATCTGCTCAAACGTTATTGGGTTCTGGATCCCATCAAACCCAGTAGTACGTTCGCCCATGCCGAATGGGTGGCTGTATCAATGTTGACATCCCCCACCTGTCTTCTAACAAAACGACGGCACACAAACAATCCACCCACGAACCCAACATGTACACAAACCTGCCACACATGAGATCATAGGCACCCGACAAGCCTCACTGTACATCAACATGTTTATAAAGGGTTGTCTGGGAAAAGAAGGACGGATTCGGTGTCAACCCCAGCCTCGTGTGGACTCGCGTCCGGGTACGCAGACGTCGTCTTGTGCTTTTGTATGAATGCGTTGGTGTGCGTGTTTAGCGGAGTTGTCTATCATTGCTGTTGTCCCTATGATTGGACGTGATCAGTATTTGGCATGCTATGGAAATGTACTAATGCGGCTTTGTTTCTGTGTGTGTGTGCGTGTGTGTGTCTGGATATGAAGGACGGATTCGGTGCAGCCGAGTCTCACACTGGCAGTGCACCTGCCAGTGTCTGACTCCTGACATAGCGCCTCTAGCCTGGCGTTTTTCCATGAAACCGTGCGTGTCTTTCTCAAGCTGGCTGAACGTAACGACAGTCTGCCCAGACCCCCTCGTGTTCTGTCTGTGCCTACGCGTGTGTCTGATTCCCGATGGGTGGACGGAACAGGTGGAGCGTGCTGCCAGGCGCCCCCGCTGCTGGCCTCTCGGCTCCGGCCAAGGCCGTCTTTGCCGCCGATAGCTGCAGAAGCAGAAAGTGCGGTACCCCAAGTCCGACCACGTAAGGGCGACTGCGAGATGGTCGTAAAATGTCAGTCTGGACGCGACGCCAGCGCGCGGCGACGTCTTGCCTCCGCCTGATAGCACACGATGGAGACGTCGCCGATCATTTCTTTTTCTTGGCATCGTCCAGTCGAGATGTGGACGCTGCCTTCTTCATCTTTCCCCTGCAAAAATTAACAGGTGTTGTAAACCTATGCGTACAAGGGATCCATGCGCGTCATTTCCCGTCGGAAAATGCACTATGTTGAAGCAAGCAATCCACAGTTGCATGGAGTTTTGAACTGAGACAGCTATTCTTAAGGGCATTCGGTGCAGTTCACAGTCATGGCCTTCTCAAGACCTAAAATCCTTTAGTTTTTTAGCTACACGGCCACGAAGATGTGCAGACTATGCAGTTAACGTATTTCTTTTTATTACAGGTCTTAGAACATTTGGACACTTGTGTTTGAGGTCAGCGTTCATCTGCCTACCAAAACGTTTCCACAACAGCCCCTAAACACAAAGCCATTTCTACCAATTTCAGAATGACCCACACCTGTTACGGCTGCTAGTGTCGTGCAAATGGCGTGAGTAGCCGGTAAGCGCGGGGACGGAAGCCGGCGTCTCTAGTTCCCAGACCACAGTGATTGCGTGCAAGATACCAATCTAAATATCCGGCAGCTTTCAACACTTCTTGCCAGAAAGCGCGGCTTGACCTGTTTTGCTGCAATCTTTGCACTTTTAAAAGTGTCATTTTAATTAAAACACCCTGTAGCAACAGGGAACCGGGGCAGTACATCACATTGCTTCAAGCATGCAAATTAGGTAGACAAAAAAACAAGAAAATGAAAAGGAGGGTGAGTGGATGCGGACGATCATCGCGCCGAAGTGGAGGCGGATTATCTGTGGATGCGGGGAACGCGATCCCCACATCGTGTCTCTTTGTGCACAGCCATCGCTGATGCTAAATGTTTCCTGGGATTTGCGGTGGGGAGGGGGCAGCTGTCTCGCCGCTCGCGGGAAGCGCCACGGCTCGACTCACTGTGCCAGTTTCGTGGCCCGGTTCGGTGACGCACCGGCGCGTCTACGACCCGCGACGTCATTCTTGATGGCGTGAGACTTGGGCTTCTTGCCGTCCGCGCTTCGGGAGCCGGAGGTATTCCGATGCTGGATCTTGTCCTTGATGTCACTGCAAAGGGGATGTGGTCAGTTCAGCTCATCGGACCCTGCCGTAAGACATTCCTTTTCGCTCCCTTTTTAACATAATCATTATGGGCTGACAAACCTGGGTTTTTGCGTGAGCCTCAGTCCAGCCAGTACAACAGCAACGATCCGCATCTGTGCCTGTTGCTCAGGGCTGAGGCGCATATAGCCCGTCCTGCCGCTGCCATTGATGGCACGCGTGCCTGCGCAGCCACCCTGGTGGCGTTACGCACATGCGTTGCTTTTGCTGAGAGGTTTCGTCCCATAATCGTTTTCTACGGAAAGCTAGAAACGTGTGGAAATGGTGTTACAAATGAAACGCTTCGCTTGATATTGGGCAGAGTGCTTTACTTCCTTCGCATTACCATCACGTTAACTTACATCGAGGATCAAAGCTATGGCGGGAAAATGTGGAGTGGAGAAAAACGTCAGTAGTGGAGAAGCTAGGCGAACGAGTGCGGCGCACGTAACCTCTTCCTTCTCATGTTTGTGAAGCTGAGTACGTATAATTTCATGTACCAACGTGCTTGTTCTCAGTTTGTTACAAATTCACTGACAAATTTCGCTGGGACTATGCATAGTGTAAACAACAGCTATCCGATCTTGAGTACCTGTAGACGTACAACATGCTATTTTTAACCCACAGAAAAGCATTGTGCTGCTCGCATAGACCCGGTGAGCTCTTAAATTTTTCCGTTGGAATGGTTTATGAATTTGTAACTCTCCGATTATCTCTGGGTAGCTTAAAATTGTATTTTTATGTCTGGAATACTAAATAAAGTCGGGCGAGAGCACACCGTGAAAGTTTCATTCTGTAAGCCACTGGTAGACCAACTCTGAACGGTTACCTGACTTCTTGGACTCACTCAGTTCCTTTGGTGATTTGCCTCTTCTCAAGTTCCTTGTCGACAGACCTGGGGACTTTCTTGATGTTCGATGGCTTGGTCATCGCCTCCTTATTCTTGTCATCCTATAAGCAATGCACACCACCGTTTAAGCTTCAGGCCTCCTGCCGATTATAAATCGAATGCAAACACGCCAACCACTTAAAGGCGCTTCAGCTTTTGCGTTCACACCGTGGTACCCATCAGGCATTGTGAGGCAATTTTCATCACCACCACCTCTTGGTGTCATGGCTCTAACCACCGGTGGGGGGGGGGGGGGGGAGGAAAAATATCCTATCCAATTTTCGCAGTGACATTTGGCACCCTCCTACGTCAGACACGTGGTTACATTCATGTTAGTGTGGTTTTTAAATGGCGTAGTGTCCATGACATTGCTGACAACATGTGCTTTGTTGATGGCATATCCCGTCTAGTTTAATTTTCACGCCTTTGTTGGTCTCAAAAGACAACATCATAGGCCGATGGGGTGGAGCGTTAAATAGCCCTCCGTCCAAGCTGGTAAACCCCCATAATGATGTCTAGCACCATGGGTTCACCTTTATCAAAATTTGTAATGCGCCATCATAAACGCACGAGGATAACGCTAACTAAAACCTGAGCCAAACGCTTGCACGGCACGTACAGATGTCTTCCGATATGATTATGCGTCCAACCCTATGAGAAGCCAATCCGCGGCGGTACGGAAGGTCAGCATCGAATCATTCAAGACTTACAAGTTATAATGCACACTCCCGCGACGCACTCAGGGTTGGTCCAGATGTTGAGCAAACATCTGCACCAGGGGCGCGGACAGGGGCCTTGTGTAACGCCTGTTGCCAGCGGTGTTACCATGGTTTCACCGCCTTGGCCATCAAAATCATCGGTTTGTTTTCGGTTTGTATCGGTACCAGAAGAACCAGTCTCGTACCCAGGCGGGCTGGTTGGTTCACGAACAGGACTGTTTGGTACCCAAGCTATGAAACCTGGTGACGCACTGCTCAGCTCCATTCACGTAGGGCGGGGTCATCCGGAGTATGACCTGACCTAGCTGCACTCACGTATCGCGGGTTGGTCCAGACATTGACTTGGCCGGCAGCGGCGCGCTCAGGCGTGTTGGGCAGGGAGGAGGGCTGACTCACGCTCTGCAGCACCAGGTCGGCCGAGAAGGACGGACGCGCCGGCACGATTGGTGAGCGGCTGCACGTACTGAAACAGCGGTCAGTTGTTGGCGCGGGCTACTACGGGCTGCCAAAACGACCCTGTTTTGAATTTTCGGTTTTGTTACGACGATGAATTTTCTCTTTTGTCACAACCAATCACATATATCTCCGGCGCGATACCACTGATAGTTCTGAGTCCTAAGCATGTCCAGTGTCCTAATCAGGAGGTCCTGTGATGACGAAATCTTCGTGAAGTGCAGTTTTAAAGACCTTGAGAAAACATTCCATACCCGGCACTGTTCGACTACCGGTCACTAACTACCAACAGATATCGACCATGTATAATCTGGCAATGTGCGGTGGGTCATCCCTGACGCCGTACGGCGCCGCCATGCTGGCTGGTTGTGCTCGCTGCGAATGCTGCTGAAGACGCGGTCGGCGTCGCCAGGCCACCGCGGCAGACACACCTGTTGATCTCCTCCAGCTTGCGGAGGAGGCGCTCGTTCTCCTTAATGACCACGTCCTGGTCGCGCATCAGGGCGTCGCGCAGCGTGTGCATGTCCAGGTTCTCATCGCGCAGCGCTGTGTTGTTGGCCATGTACTCCTGGAGCAGCTCGATCAGCTCCTCCGTCTTCAGCTCCTGCAGCCGCTCCTTGTCGATCGCCAGCTTCTGCTCCGAACGACGCCGGCCTGTCGGGGGGATGGTCAGCATGACAGGGAAACAGGGCTATTTCTGCCAGACACGGGGTTCGTTGTCAGGCCGCACAAATAGCACCGCTGCGCCGACCGCGGAGTCGGGTCAGCTGTCAGTACGCGTGAGCGCGGGCAGACAGGCACTGCCAAACGGAGGTGGGTGAAATTGCAGTCGGGCTGAAGGTCGGGACAGGTCAAACAAACCCCGGGCTGCTGAATATAGCCCGTCTGCTTGGACCCACGCGGGCCGGTTTCCAAGGAAAAGAATGTCAACCCAACAGCTCAGCAGACACGGAAGAGAACCACGGAACTGTCAGCCGCTTCTCGCAGAAACGCAAAAGCTGCACGATGTTCTCAGTGGTGACTGGGATGGAACACCACGTCTGCAGTTAGAACGTTGCTTGCGTCCGTCCAATAAATTAGCAGTCACGCCAAAAGGCGATTGCAACATATCCCCGACTAAGGAGCTGGGTCGACTCGGTGTTTAGCTCCAGTGGCAACGCACAGTCCGGCTCGGGCGTCGCCCCGTGCGCTAAGAGGAGCCACCAGCGGGCAGGGGATCACTGACGGGCGGGGTCTCCGGTGCCGGGCGTGCCGCCGTTGGAGAGCGGAACCGTCTCGCCGTGGGCGCCGATTTTGACCAGTAGCTTCAGATGGTCATTCTCCTGCTGCAGGATGTGCACCTCGCGCTTCAGACTGAGGATGAGTGCCTCGCGCGGGTCCTGCGGCCGGCCAACGAGCAGCGTCAGCAGAGCCAACGCCCGCGCGGCCGCTGACCGCAAACAGCCGAGAGCCATGCGATCAGCGAGCACCAGTGCCCATACGCATACGGTTACCACACACTCGAAATGGGACAGATGCAGTAGCCAGGGAACAAGCATGGTACAGAGTTGCGCCCTCAGCGGCCTAAGTTAACAAGCACATATACACGTGAATGAAAGTCGGTCGGATTGCAGCTACACGGCTTGTCAGTTGCGTTCCGGACTGGGAGGACATCCAGGCAAGAAGACAGGCCACTGACATATAGCAACACAGGAAATCTGTAATTTTCCTTTGTGTGCGACTAAGTTAACCAGATAAAGGATTGAGTCAATTAGGAAACATTATGCTGGACATGGGCACATTATTCCAAAACGTCTCCCAAAATCACCCTAAGCGTCTCATAACGCAAACCTTTCAATTTTTGCACTTCAACATTTATATCCATTTTTCACATGGGTCCTGTCAGGCACTGTGGGGCCCCCAATCGGAGTCTGCTGCATCAGCGATGTACCGCCATAACAGAGCATTTCCTCCTGGAGCTCGAACCCGTGTCGATGGACCTAAGGAACTGGATCGCATTCTCTCGGACATAGAGATGCCGCTTACTTATGGGCATGGTCCGTCATTGTGTGTCTTTTGTAAAAGTTTGTTGTGCGTCTTTTGTAAATACCTCAGTCTCCTTCAGTCAATATTCCACGTATGGGTTGTTCAATGTTTGCCAAATCCCAAAATTCGGTTGAAAAACTGTTGCTCCACATGCAGCTGTGTTAACGCAGCTCATGTTTAGCCAGTTACGTTTATCCAGCAGACCCAGTAAAGCTATCTGCAGATATCTGATATCTCATATCGGTAGGGGTATCCGCAAAACATCGCGGAAGTAACACCTCGTATCCGTAGAACTGCACACACGCAACTCTCTACGTCGCATTTCTTCGTATTGTTTTTTTTTTGTACACGATTTTTCATCACATGTTTTCATATACGCAGGCCTTTGCATGAAATACGATGCACTGAGAACAAAATCAATGATGTACCACGAAATCACGAAAACTCTCCTTCCACAACACCAGAAATGGCACGCTCCTCAACCAAGGTTGGTGTTCTAGGCCAGGTGGAGACGTCCCTGATACAAGATTTCGACCCACTGGGAATCTACCAGGGAAAGTACTAGGAAATGTACCAAGAAAGTTTCTCGGGCGGGCGCCCACCTTCCCGACAGGGGTATCCCAATCGGTAAGGTGACCGGGTGCGGTGACCGCGATCAAGCCCATGTACAGCGCAAAACATCAACGGGAGGGGTTACTACTGCCTTATCTGCGAAAATATATCCGGCAGTGGTGGACATGTGCTCTGACCGAATCTGCGCGCCCTGTATTATGCCAGTGGGATGCAGAATGGAAGATTCAGTCTCCTAAGAGAAACGTGCAAAAAGCTTCCATATGCGCCTTAGCTGAGCACAATCGAGGACTTCCGTAACTTAGTCAAATGGATAAGGGCTCTGGAAGATTTAGTCCTCTACGAAAAACATACAAAAAGCTTCCAACTGCGCCTAAGCTGAGCCCAATCGAAAACTCCCGTGACTGAGTCAAAGGGAAGTGTTTGGGAGGCCGCCCCTAACCACCAGCTGGGACGCCGCGTTCGCCGGGTACTGCACGGCGTGGATAATAGGGCGTCACGCAGCAGGATGTGTGGTGGGGGAGCGTGTGCGTGCTACGGCACCGTATGCAGTGAATCGTGTTCTTTATTAATATGCCGCACTTCACATTGCTCTTCTTCGCGTACAGGACAAGCTTAACACGCGCTCGGGTGGGGGGGGGGGGGGGGGTCAAATTGATCCCCCCGAAGGTTTTTTCCAGAATGGTTTCCGAACGACGCTGCATAGCCGCGCCACATTTTGCGTAGCTGTAGACGACTGAATAGCGGCTCGTTTGGCATCAAAAATGGATACACCTTGTAAGGTCGCTGACCTATAGCAGGTCAAAGTCAGGTCATGGTTTCGGCGAAAGCAATTGCTAAGGAATCCTTCAATTTGATCCAACAACGGAGTGTTAGACGAAGTCATACATATCTGAGATGCTTTCTTAGGTAACAAAACAACTGAATAAGCAAATTACATTGACCTAAGGTCAGGTATGAAGGTCGCACCAAGGTTAAAACCAACCTGTTTTGTTACTCTAGGGCTTGCTGTGTGGGATAGTTTCCAGTGTTCATTTCGAGTTTATTTATAGCAGGAACCACATAATACGTCTTCCATGGACTTTTCAGAGGTCAGAATAGGTCATTGACCTAAAAAGATCCAGGTTAACATTTTGTTTTAGGAGCATATTGCCTGATGTAATCTTTGTCGCTTAGTCAAATACAAAACTCAAAGCAATCTTGTACGATTTTGGTCACCTTGACCTTCAAAAGGTCAAACAAGGTCACTGACCTTGAATGAGCATGTGACCTTTGCTTAGAAACGGTTATCTCCGTTCTGAGGCACTTTGGAGACCAACCTGGAACTTGACCTTGTTAAAGCTTTTTACCCGAAGGTCATGACCTAGGAACCTGAAACTTTGACCTAAGTAAATTCACATACAGGTCAACACACCCTGTACATTTGGTGTCTCTAGCTTTCTTAATTCTCGAGAGCTCAAGGGGGTCAAATTGACCCCCACCCGAGAGAAGGGCATCTAGCCGGCATCTAGCCTAGCGTGTTACTGACGGTGCTAAATACAGTGGAGATTCTGTTATTCGAACATTGTTCATAAAGTGACTGATGGCCTACATTTGCTTATTTTCCCTGTTGTTGCGTTGTTCGTTACCGCCGTCCCTTTCTTTTCCAATTCCGTAGTCATAATATTACAACCATACCTGGAAGAAATGATCTTGTAACCCTAACATGTTTATTATGATGCTATTTCTAAGCTAAACCATGCGTAGCTGATGCATGCTACAGTCAGTCCGTCGTCCCTGCGGGTATGCGAATGAGTTGGTAAAACGCCACTTGTGAGCCAATGCGTGATAATCGTTGTAGTTGGCCCCCTGAAACCTGCAAGATCCAAACGTCTGGTTGCTGCAGTTATGATTATCTGGAAACATTTCTTTCGATATAATGAGATTGCGTATGTCATCTTACCCAGTCTTACATCTGTGAATTTTAGGACTACGCACGACTTATACATTAACTTACTCACTGTGTGATCAAGCCCATTCCACTGGGGAGTGGTTAGTTCCGGCTAAAAGCTTGCAAACTGAAATATTTGCGATGGAAAGAACAGCGCGTACCAAAGACTGGACACAAGGAGATGCGTATCGGGAGAAATACGGCGCAAATAATTGTGTATGAGAACAATGGCGGTGCAAAGAAGTGCATGAACGAAGAAAAGCGTGAGCAGGAGAAAAATGGGGAAAAATGTGGATGCAAAGAAATGCGAAGCAAGTTATCATAAACGAATCAATATGAATGCGTATAAATGCGATGCAAAGCAATTCAAGTACGACGAAATGCGATATGAAGAACTATGTATAAGAAGTTTTGTGACTGCAAACTTTGCGGTTATGAATATCTGTCCACACACATGTTTGGGGTTTACGAAGATTTGTGCTCACGAAAATTTGCGCACAAGGAAATGCTATACAAATGTACACAATACGAAGGCATGCGCACAAAGTCTTGTGTTCGGACCCGAAACTCCCTGCTCGATGTCGGAGATCATACGCATACAACTAAGCAGCGCCAATGACCGTACGGGAGCCCGTCATGGCCAGTCATATTTCTACTTACCATGACGATGATAGGCTTGGTTTTGATCCGCTTAGCCCTGGATGCGTACCTCAGCGTGTTCAGGGACTCACTGATGTTACTCCGCGCCGGCGAAGCACACGCGATCTGAGGAAAGACGTTGCGATGTCAGACAGCTGTGCTTGGAGAAGGCTTTGTTGTAACCCTCTGACGATGCAAAACATTCGCAGATTTTCGGAGAAAGAAAAAAAAGAGAGACAGAGAGAGAGAGAGAGAGAGAGAGAGAGAGAGAGAGAGAGAGAGAGAGAGAGAGGAGAGAGAGAGAGGACGAGAGAGAGAGACGAGGAGGGAGAGAGAGAGAGAGGGGGGGGGGGGGGACAGAGGAGAGACAGGGGGACAGAGGAGAGAGACCGGGGACAGAGAGAGACAGGGGGACAGAGAGAGACAGGGGGACAGAGAGAGACAGGGGGGACAGAGAGATGACAGGGGGACGAGGAGAGACAGGGGGACAGAGAGAGACAGGGGGTCAGAGAGAGACAGGGGGACAGAGAGGAGACAGGGGGACAGAGAGAGAGAACAGGGGGACAGAGAGAGACAGGGGGACAGAGAGAGACAGGGGGGGGACAGAGAGAGACAGTGGGACAGAGAGAGGAGAGACATGTGACAGAGAGATTGAGAGACTGAGAGACTGAGAAAAAGAGATACAGAGAGACAGAGAGACAGAGAGACAGAGACAGGAGGACAGGACAACAGATAGAGGGTTAGGTTCACTGCCGACCGAATCGATCATCTATTGGAGCGAGGATATGGCGGCCAAGTTTGACCCATCAGTGTAACTCCGCTGCCAGCCAGACTGTCTGCCAACAGTTTGGTCAGCTTGCTGTCCCGGTACGGAATGTGGCCGGTCTTTTTCTTGGGGTCACTTAGGTTGGATATGCACGTTCCTGAAACGAACGAAGGGATTTGCGTGACGCCACGACCCAAATGCGCTTTACGGTATCCTCCACGTCTATACACACTAAAATGCGGTTGCTAGGTTGGTCGGAGAGGATAGGGGGAAACAGGCTGTTCAGTTTGCTTGCGGGTCCCAAAGTTTTAATTGTTCCCTATGCAAACCCACGAGCGAAGGTGAATATATGTCGACAATGCAAATTGCCATAACTTGCACCAAAAACTGCAACGCATCAATAATGTGGATACATTTGACGGCCTGTTAAAGCCGTCAAATGTATCCACATTATTGATGATATAAATTGATGAAAAGGCGCAAAGTTGGTAAACTCCAAACTTTGACAAAACTATGCACGATCCAATTCATTTGCTGCTGAGTAGTGGGCTGTAAGCCGCAATCCGTTCATAGCGCGAGTGGCTGCACCCTCACATATTAAGGACATGCTGTAATTAACAGCTGCCTGTGAAGGTCCGTGGGCATGAGCTGCGTTATAAGAGACAGGGGAAGAGAGGCGGGTGGTGTGTATGTCCGGATAGTAGCGGTTGCTCCTGCCCCGCGTAAGCGGGGAAGGAGCCTATCCATTGCTTTCAATAGCGATAGTTCTGCCCAGAGCCATGTGGGCTGGTGGGAAGACTGGCGATTGGTCTGCCCAGAGCCGTGTGGGCTGGCGAGAGCACTGGCGATTGGTCTGCCCAGAGCCATGTGGGCTGGCGGGAGAGCTGGCAGTTGGTCTGCCCAGAGCCATGTGGGCTGGCGGGAGGACTGGCGATTGGTCCGCCCAGGACCATGTGGGCTGGCGGGAGGACTGGCGATTGGTCTGCCCAGAGCCATGTGGGCTGGCGGGAGAGCTGGCAATTGGTCTGCCCAGAGCCATGTGGGCTGGCGGTAGGACTGGCGATTGGTCTGCCCGGAGCCATGTGGGCTGGCGGTAGGACTGGCGATTGGTCTGCCCAGAGCCATGTGGACTGGCGGGAGGACTGGCGATAGGTCTGCCCAGAGCCATGTGGGCTGGTGGGAGGACTGGCGATTGGTCTGCCCAGAGCCATGTGGGCTGGCGGGAGGACTGGCGATTGGTCCGTCCAGAGCCATGTGGGCTTGCGGTAGGACCGGCGATTGGTCTGCCCGGAGCCATGTGGGCTGGCGGTAGGACTGGCGATTGGTCTGCCCAGGACCATGTGGACTGGTGGGAGGACTGACTATAGGTCTGCCCAGAGCCATGTGGGCTGGCGGTAGGACTGGCGATTGGTCTGCCCAGGACCATGTGAACTGGCGGGAGGACTGACTATAGGTCTGCCCAGAGCCATGTGGACTGGTGGGAGGACTGGCGATAGGTCTGCCCAGAGCCATGTGGGCTGGTGGGAGGACTGGCGATTGGTCTGCCCAGAGCCATGTGGGCTGGCGGGAGGACTGGCGATTGGTCCGTCCAGAGCCATGTGGGCTTGCGGTAGGACCGGCGATTGGTCTGCCCGGAGCCATGTGGGCTGGCGGTAGGACTGGCGATTGGTCTGCCCAGGACCATGTGGACTGGTGGGAGGACTGACTATAGGTCTGCCCAGAGCCATGTGGGCTGGCGGTAGGACTGGCGATTGGTCTGCCCAGGACCATGTGAACTGGCGGGAGGACTGACTATAGGTCTGCCCAGAGCCATGTGGACTGGTGGGAGGACTGGCGATTGGTCTGCCCAGAGCCATGTGGGCTGGCGGTAGGACTGGCGATTGGTCCGCCCAGAGCCATGTGGGCTGGCGGGAGGACTGGCGATTGGTCTGCCCAGAGCCATGTGGGCTGGCGGGAGGACTGGCGATTGGTCCGCCCAGAGCCATGTGGCCTGGCGGGAGGACTGGCGATAGGTCCGCCCAGAGCCATGTGGCCTGGCGCGAGGACTGGCGATTGGTCTGCCCAGCACCAGCTGTGTTGGCAGTGGCGGGGTCCGTGCGGCGCCGGCGGGCTGCTCGGCGCGCCGGCGTCGGTATCGACAGCCAGTGACCGTCACCGGGCCGGTGGACGCCAGGTGTCCGGGCAGATCGATACGCCGACACCGCCGGCCGCCGCATGGTGGGGGAGCGTCACGGCCCGGGTGAACGGCCTGTCGCCGCCGAGCGTCACGTGACCCGCGTCGTTCGTGTCGGCCAGGGCGAGGAACGGGTTCGGGCCGAATGGGGGACGCCGGCTCTTATATTTCACGGCGAGTGCACCATCATTAAGATAATGAGTTGATAGCCTTTGGACGAAGGCTTGATTCACAACGTCCCAACAATTTTCCAGAACTGGTAAACGTTATAATTGAGTTGCACTACACGGCTGCCACGCCCAGCTCCCATGCGATAAACGAAATGACAAAGTTAGCATGCGATCGGGCGGAGTGGGGTGCATCCCCAGTAAGGTTCATCCTCATAAAAATTGAACGGAGCGGCGTGCCGACGCAAAATTTTGGGCAGTGGTACATAGTTGGCAGTCATGGTTCTCGTATCCAAAATAAGCGATAGCCTTTTAAGGTCGTTGACCAGGTCGATGCCAGGGCAGGTTATTACCAGGCCATGCTTGTCAACTAAGGTACAACGACGGAGAAACTAAGACATCTGCATCGTTTCTTGCACTCACAGTACCGCAACACAATGGGATGCAGTGTTATCATTACGTGGTAGCGCGGTCGTGTACTGGATTCCCAAATGGACCCACGTTACGGCCGAAAGTTAGCGGACATGTTGCAACATTTAGAACGAATGACGGGCAGACAGGAAGATTTGTCTTGGCCTCCTGTCCCGCCCTGTCCCTTCCAAAACATTTTCTCTGAGGATTTGTTTGTTAGGAGATGCTGCAGCCTTGCAATATGTAACTAAAACGCAAAAGCTCCACCATGCTCCATCAACTTTAAATCAGACTGACCAACAATAAAGCGTCAGTTATGGCCCAGAGGAGGGGAAAACCGATGGTTCGTGACGCACGGCCAATAGGCACCGACCCAGGACAAGCTTAGTTCATGTGGTGAAGTTTCAAGTGTCTGAAAGATGCATGACTTAAAAGGTGTTAAGCGATCCTGCTTTGTTGATAATGTGAACCACAAGAGATATCCCTAGTTACATCGAAGTTCTACCTGGCTTATTTTTTGCTTGCGCACAGAGCCAGATTGTAAATGACTAAGTACCGCCTCCCAGCCAATATGTTTATTCGCACTGTAAGATAATGGTGTACTCGGCATACTAAAAACACACTTGCCATTGATCCCATTCGGTTTTGACGTCCACTGCGCACATGACAGAGACGTCAGACGTACACAAAAGGCAAGCACACGAGCGCAGGTGACTGGAAGAGACACAAACTAGAGTGCACCCCGTGCACGACCAACCGTTAAACTGAGTGGGATGCGATATGCACCAAAGCCAGCAATCTGATTTCGCGAATGGCGCAAGATGTTCTGAGTCATTTCGTTAACGCCGATACCGAACACCAGGGACAAAAGGCAATATGTCTAAATGGTACAACTAACCGAGGACCATGAGGCTTTTGTTGATGTTGTTGGCTTCCTCAAGTGTCTTGCCCTCGCTGTTGGTCTTCTTCGTCATCTCGCTGCCGGCCAGGTCCACGAAGTTCAGCTTGCCCAGTTTGGATATGTAGACGTCCGAGTCATCTGCCGCCTGTGCTCGCACAGAGGAAACCCGGCGATGAAGTAGAACAGTGAATAACATGTGCAGACGTGCGCATGACGGGTCTTTATATGCAATCAATGGACCATGGCATGCTTCGATGCGAGGTCAGCAGTGGTGAACACAGCGCATTTTTACACCGGCACTGTTGCTTTGGAAGATTCGCATATCTTTGTCGGAGGTTAAATATAGCTTCCTGAGTATTAATCAATGAAACAAACGTACCACAGCCTGAGCTATTCCGGCGCAGTCCAAGACAATTCAAGAGAGCAACAAACCTTTGACCAAGTTTACTTCCATGAATTGGACATTGGAACCCACGAAGACAAGTTTAGAGCATTATTATGTAGGCTTTGAGGTTGAGATCTTAGAAATGCCACATCAGGAAAGTTATGGGATTAATGACGACATAAATTCAGCTGGTAAAGGGCGCTTTGCCACAAGAGCGTGGTTTGCTGAAGCGGATAATGACGAGCAATATTCTACTGTATCGACAGCACAGGGCCTCGACCATTAACCAGTAGAAGAGATCTCTTGGTCAAAGTGCCGAGACCGATTACCTTCTGCTCTGAAGTGATGTATACTGTGAGGATCGTGTGACTGCGACTGGAGAACTCGTTCATGTTGTGACTGGCGACTGCTCGGTTGCGAAGCCCTGTAACCAGGTGTGACAAATGCAGTCAGCTACAGCACAGCCCGGCTCGTGCCGATCAGTGCGAGGTGTGGACATTGGACAACCCTATCTTGACAGTGGGCAGCGTGATTATGCTGGTGTGCATTTGTAGAAGCCGTGGGCCCGTCATACTGATTTCAGTTCTGAGCACTGGTATTCATATTTTGGTAAATACACACACGCACACGCACGCGCCAGAAGCGAGTCCAGGAAAGGCAAAAAGGAGATGGGGTCGCAGTACACGGAGACTGTGGTCATCAACAGCGGGCGGTCAGCTGACGGTCGCGGCACCGAGGCACGCTCCAGTCACGTATCCGTACTTCCTTCCTCTAAAAAACTAGACAGGCGCATGGCACCTGCCCACATCACGTTATGTACGTGTCACAAAGTTCATTCAAGCACAACAGCAGTACATATAATATGAACTACTAAGCCGATAATTTCAGTGCGATTCTCGCCTGGATGTTCTGACCGTTTACTAATTTCCTGATTAGCGAATACTTAGGATCAGCTCCGACGACGAGGCATTTCAATTGTGCTTTTCAACCTGTTCACGATCAGTTCCCAACATGCCCCTGGTGGGTAGTTCCCAGAACTACCTGCGGCGACTACGCATTCAACAGGAACGCAATGAGGTTACGCAGTGCATAGGAACTCTGTTTTCGCGTATGACAAAATGTTGGGTTATCCCTCATTTTTAAACAATTTTTTCAGCACCTGGTTTCGCATCTCCTGGATACGCTTATGAATTTTCACTTTAGAAAATTTTCAACACATCAATGTTGAAATTCTTGTCCATCGATGTGCGTTGGTTGCGTTAAAAACGGTTGATAAACGTGGCAACTGTGTCCGATGAGAATGTCTACTCGTGTTAGGTCCCCGATTTCACCTCCAAGGTTACGAATCTGCCCTCACTTCTCGCCCAGAAAAGGTGTATCGGGGAGTCTACCCGGAGCAGGGTTACAGACGATCACCCAACATATTACGGAGCAAGGACAGACCTGAAGGACCAGCTGATTCAAACACCCATCTATCAAACATCAGGCAAAAAAACTTGATGAATCATTGCGTTCTCATTTGCTTTAGCTCACTAGAGCACGGAGTGGGCGATACAACATTTATTAGTTCGGATGGAATGTGTAGCATAGATGCGGTGCACGGGAGGCTCAATATCTATTGCAATTTTGCTTGCACACACACATAATATATATATATATATATATATATATATATATATATATATTCTTACATATACATGCGCACATACATTAGATATTCGTATACTGCGCATATTGGTTGCATAATGCAGATAGAAATATTGGGAGCATTGCCTCTTCAAGGATATTAGAATGAAAGAGTTTTTATTCGAATGTATATATTTCGTTGGCTATTCGATACACGTATGTATATATGCCTACATATATACAATATGCTTATGTATATATATATATATATATATATATATATATATATATATATATATATATATATATATTATATACAGGACAAAACTTGTGCACTTCTAGAAAAGCATATTTTGGCACGGAGTGCAAAAATTGAGCATGACCAATGGAAGTAAGACAGAATACTAATTTTACTTTGATGCATATAAAATACACTCAAAATGTGAACGCTACAAAGACACCAACACGTTGCCACAATTACATCAGTGGTGCTCACCGCCCATCACCTAATAATTAAACCGGTGCACAAGAACTTGCTTGTCTGTTTTGGGCTGGAGAGAGTTCGTTAATGAATATACTTTTCTAAATTTGAAGGCGCATTCTGCCATTGGATGTCTGTAAAATGTCAGTGTTGTCTGTCCGTTGCTGTCGTACCCGTGCCCTGTCATGTTCGTGTCGCATGTGACCCAGACGTGCCCTGTCCCGTAAGCGCATTGTCAGGCGTCGTGAGAGTGTCGTGGTCACACCGGTGTAGCGTGTAGAACGAAGTTTGCAGCCTTCGATGTTGCATTTGAATTGATACTCTACGTTGGCGCATTTCAGCCTGTCGGCTTTGTCTGGGCTATCTCTCATAGGAAATTTAGATATTTTCTTATTGCGATACTGCCACCGGCGTCCATCACACAGACTGTGCTTCACGACGCTGCCGCCAGCGTCCACAGCACAGACTGCGCCACACGACACCGCCGCCAGCGCCCACCACATAGACTGCGCCGCAAGACACTGCCCCCTCCCCGGCGCCCAACGCGTAGACTGCGCCGCACGACACTGCCGCCAGCGCCCACCGCTTAGACTGCGCCGCATGTCACTGCGGCACTGCCGTCGCCGAGCCGCCCTACCCACGGGACGAGACGCTACGTGAAGGAAGGCACGAGGCGCTACATGGGGGAGGCGCAAGACGCTACGGGAGGAGTGACACGAAACGCTACGTGAGGGGTGAGGGGGGCAACACGCTATATGAGGAGTGGTGCAAGACGCTACGGGAGGAGTGGCACTAGACGCCACGTGGTGGTGGTGCAATACGCTATATGAGGAGTGGTGCAAGACGCTACGGGAGGAGTGGCACTAGACGCCACGTGGGGGTGGTGCAATACGCTATATGAGGAGTGGTGCAAGACGCAACGGGAGGAGTGGCGCGAAACACTACATGGGTGGTGGTGCGAGACCCTACGTGGGGGGCGATGCAAGACGCCACGTGAGGGGTGGTACGAGACACTACGCAAGGGTGGCGCCAGACGCTACATGAGAGGTGGCGCGAGACGCTGGATGGTTTGGGCCTGTTTAGCGCGCTTTAAACCGCACGTGTTGCAGAAAGATATGAGTCTGACGACAAGCAGCCAAGCCTGACAGCATCGTCCAGAAATCAACAGGTAACAGTTTTGTACCGAAGCGAGGCTGGGTGCAGGACTCGCCGAGCAGGCTGCCCGTAGGGCGGTAAGTCTTGGTGAACTATGTCCACGTGCTAAGTACTGAGAACAAATGCAGGGCTATTGGCATCGGAAAAAGTTTCGTTCTGTTCACTGACGCACACTGACGTTTGCCGACTACTTCTGCTATGAACGTTCCGAATGTCTCGGCCCTACTTGTCTTGGGGCATGATCAGTGATCAATGACTGCCATTATAGGGGCCAATCTTGTTTTGGGAAGTTGAATGGCCTTAGAGGCTTGCAACGGTTTGCATCACCCCGCACCAGACAGCCTCATGAAGTGGTTTATACTATCGCAGCTGACTAGACCAGTGGCATCTGAGTGTGATCATCTGCAGTGTAATTATTTAACAATCTTTAATACTCTGCATTAATAATATAAACAGCTGGAGATCCGAATCATCTCGATAGGCTGGTTTGTCGGAGGACAATCCGTAGCACGCGTGCAGTGTGCAATGATTTCGGTGCATGCTGCACATTGCACACTGGTCTCCTTACAATAGCAGCTGAAAAGAACAGATTTATTTCTTCGGCCACTATCGCCCGCATTGATGCCACAGTACTTTTGCTAAGAGAGGTTCAAGATCAGATGTCGTCCGTGGTAAGGCCGGCAGTTCTTTTCCGCACTCAACATCAAGATAAGCGAAAGGAGACTGCATTGTTGAAAGTCGCTGGTTTTGTGTAAAAAGATTACAGACGTGCATAGTTACAACGTGGATCAGGTGGATCTTTATATTCATTTTTTCCTGCGTTAACCACTGCGCGTCTGGGAAACCAGAGGTACGGGGTTCGATTTTCCGCGGTGCCCGCCCTTTCTGCCAGGGTGAGAGGCAGGCGACGCCATTTAGCCTCAGCAGCTGAGTGCGTCGTAAAGCGCCAAAGACACACTCACTCACATATTTATTTTGCCTATGTCCGGCGGGTGCACCAGTGCTTCTGTCTCTCAACACTACAGCTACCTTGCTTTCAAAGCACCCTAGTGTACAACCATGTGTTAACGTCCCTCACGTGACCAGCGTGACTGTACAGCACACAATCATGCTGTGACGTTCACTGGACGGTGACACTGGCCTCAGCTTTTAACACGACCCGCAGGTCGTTGGTACTCTGTGCCACACACCCGGGCAGCTGCCGGACGGCGAGGTCGCTCGATAAATCCATGGTGACCCGGCGGACCGGCCGTCGCAGTAGCTCGACACAATGTAACCGCCATCGACCGGCACTGGCAACACACAAACTGGGCGCCAGCCCGCGCCGCGGGCACGCACCCCCAGCCTGGGCATGGAAGCTCTTCCACACACTTCGGGCCAAGAAGTCTGATTCAGAGCCTGAACGGGAAAATTAAGGCTTGTGCATTTGTAGTTAAAAAATAGAAAGCGCAGCGAACTGTTGTAGTGATGGGATCGCTCCATGCAGTTTCCAAAACCGAGTTTGAGCCACGTCTCACAGGAAAGACCAGCAGGGTGGTGAAATAAACAGGCGATGGAGTTAAACAAACTTAACGGGATCATGCACGAAGGGATTGTTTAATGGAAGCCGCAGGGCATGGGTCCTTCCTCCCGAGTCGTTGTACGAATCGACCTTAAATCAGAGCCTCAGCAACACATTAACGGTAGAAATGAACTTGCCTGCCCGCTTTTGTACCTCTCAATGATGGATATATCAGACGCGTCCAATTTGATTGGCATGATCAGTTTCCTTGAAAACCTTCTGAATAGCTCAAAATTTTGTCTTGAAGTTGCTTAGCCCGGAGAAATGCTATCGAATCCCTGTTTACCACAACGAACGCAATATGTTTCAATTACTTAACTGTTGTTTTCACTTGTGTGTTATGTAATGTTTGCAATGCACTCACTTGCTGGAACACCTGTGCAATCAATGTCATTAAGGCCTAAAGGCTCTATTTATGGAAAAATATAGGCGAGTACAGGGGTGAAGCTTCCCATTCAATTGGGAGGGAATTCGCCGCCCTCATCCCCCCTCACCCCCCCCCCCCCTAACTTCGTGACGAAAGTGGAAAAATTCGTGGAGAACCCCGTTTTTGGCACACGTTTGAGGCAGGTTGGGTTGCTTTTTTACTGTTTAACTCCCCTCCCCCCAACTCTATTTAGGGGCGTAGATTTTGGTCAGTTGCCAATTGGTCACAAAAATATTTTTGCTTCTTTTGAAGAAAATTTTCAACAGCTGATGTGCAGACTCACTAGGGGAGATGAAGTGTTGGATCTCGTATCGACTGACAAGAAATGGTGTATAGATGTTTTGACAGTAGGTGAGCCACTGGGAAATATTGGCCATGCTATGGCAAGGTTTTCATTGTGTCTAGGTTATTTAAGGCAACGCTAATCATACCCTTACTCCAAAGTTTGCTAGAGGTAAATTTGAAGAACTTGCAGTCTTTTTCGCTAGCTGCCAGTGGAAAGATATCCCTATTGGATTCACCGCATATCAGGAGCCTGATATGCAGTGAAGAAACTCTCCACACTGTGTGAGCACTCCTCCACAAGGGAGGAGTGTTCAAAGATATTCTAGAAGCAGGTCAGGAAAGACACATTCCCTTTAGGAAAATGTGAGGAAGTGGCTCACGGAAGCTACCATGGCTGACACAGATAGTGCTCAATTTGATCATATCATGGGCAAAAAAGTAAGACACAGAAAACAACAAGGCAACGTACAGGATTGCTTCAAAAAAGCTAAAAATAAAATTAGGGTGGCAAACAATTATTAGAAATACAGCTACAAGACGCTTGCTCTAGCGATGTTTAGAATCGTTTTAGCCACCACAAATTTAAATCTAAGGGATCCTCTATCGGCCTCTTCGAGGAAGATGGAAGTCATTAGTGGACGACTGGGATATTGGAGATGCTCTTAGCAAACACTTTTCTTTACTGGTTACAAAGCAGACTGTGCGTGATCTACCTGGTGAAAGGCAAATCTGCCTGAAGGCAGTGCTGTGGATTTGACGGTGACCGAGGGTATGGTAAGGTAAGGTAAGGTAAGGTAAGGTAAGGTATGGTAAGGGATGGCTTGCGGTGAATATAGCTGGATAGGGAGCCTGGATCTGACCAGATATATATTAGGTGGAGCGCTGAATAAACACGCTAGTACTTTAGCTTGTCCCCTGGTGCAAATATTTAATGGGTCATTGAGCTCCCCAGACTACCCGTGGACTGGCACAATGCCAACTTAGTACCGATATTTCAGAGGGGAACCAAAGAAGGGCTAGCAACTACAGGCCTGTCAGTCTTACCTCACTAGTGTACAACATTATAAAGAAATTTATGAAGGCTAGCATTCAGTCACCTAAGATAGGCATCAGATGATAACTAACAGTCAGCGCAGTTTTCTTTCTAGAATGTCTCGTCTGACAAGTCTGCTGGAGTTCATAGAGCATGCTACTAGTTAGATTGATAAAGGCAATAGTTTGGATGTTGTTCAACTAGGTATTACTAAGGCGTCTGATTAGGTGCCACACCAGCCTCTGCTATATCGATTAAAATTGTATGGCATTGAGTGAAAACTCCTTGACTGAGTGAGGGCTTGGCTGCTAAACAGGAAATAAAGCGTACTGCTGAATGGCACGAAGTCTCAATGGTACCTAATAGAAAGAGTGACTCAAAATCGGTCGGTTTTAGGCGCTTTGCTCCTTATCACTGTCGTGAATAATATTGAGATAGGATGATAAAGCAAGACGCTAAAATTTGCTGACGTTATTTAAGCAGAAGAAATATCGAAAAAGACCGACGGCGTGAAGCCTGAATTAGAGAAATTAGTGAACTGGGTTTCTCTCTGGCAGATATCATTTAATTATGACAAGTGTAAGGTGATGTATTTGGGTAGTTCTAGCAGTGGGGACGTTAGTTATAAAACGTAAGTTCGGGAGTCAAACCATATCGAGAAAAGAAGGTTTCAGTGATACAAATTTTCAACAAATTTAGGCTCAAAAGTTAAGTGGGGCTGCTAAGAGCGAGGCGCTTCGGATGCCGGGAATTATTATCAGGGATGCCCATTACAAGTGTGGGAATATCGTCAGAAGGCTGTACTACGCTTCTGTCGGACCACACCTAGAGAATTGTGTACAGGCTTGACCCCCCACGCTTCCAAAAACATATAGAGGCTGGAAAGGGTACAATGAAAAGCAACTAGGATGGTTAATGGGACTGGTAGCTTAGAAGATAAGGATTGGTCTAGGGGCTTTGGTTTGTATTCACAGAAATATCGTAGGCTTAAACGGGATCTGATTGGGGAATTCAGTAGTATGGAGGTCATAGACAAGGCAGATCTACGAAGAGCACTGGAATTTAGGCTGAACAAGCCCTCGCCGGGGGGGAGATGTTCATGACATCCTTAACTTTTTAACCTTTAACCTTAACTGAACCTAAGCTTACCAACCTCAGCTTAACTGAACCTAACCTACCAACTAGTTATTACGACTTAAAAACTTCACAACATTAACAACACAATCCTGACGCACATCAAGCTTTCGTGAGCGGAAATCCGGATCAGTTTTCCCGCCCGATCTGTCCTTACTGCGGCTGGCAGGTGGCAGCACTTCCTGGCAACAGGAAGGGGCGGAGCCTAAATTATCGCGCGTGAATTGAATGCTGAAGGCGTTTGTACCAGTTACTCTTGCATGGTTAAAACAGGCATGACAAATTACAATTCATGCTGCCAGGGTATTGTGTGATGAAATTATAATAGGAACACCCCCTCACATTGCCCCACAACGACAAAAGACTACCACAGAGCCGGAGCAAAGCTGAAAAACGACCGTCACGCATCACGCCGCAAACCGGAAGGAGAGCTGAGTATTGTTCTTGAGTGTCTTATTTGCGCCAAGATTTTCAGGCCAGAAATTAACTCAGGTGCTTCAAAGAAAGAATGAAATTTAGGGCCGTCTGAAAACGTTTCACTGCGTAATTTGAACTATAAAATAATTACAATATACTCGATTACAGAATCTAGCTGATGCTGCAGTGGCACTAGCCAGTGCTCTTATTAGACATAACTGGTCATGAGGCTTCACCAGAGTACATTTTGAAATGCGCCCCAAATGTGCCACGCTCCTTTTAATGGCAGTGCCAATCGCTTTGAACTTGCTTCACACGGCAAACAAATACGATGCTCAACATGCTACTGAGGCCCGGGCCGTGCCCGCCTTAGCGCGTCGCGTGCATGTTGACAGCCTTTGCAATACGTTTTAAGTGGCCATTCGGTTCAAAAATGTGGGCTTACCCCAGTCTGACCTGAAAATTGTACCCTGGTACATACGCTACTTTGATACAACATTGTGATGCGTGCGATATGCATTACCAGCACTGAGCATCCTGAGTTCAATGTAACTACGGTATCACTTATTTAGAAATGGTAGATCGCTATTGCGTTATTAGATTGCGTGAAATATAAAATGTGCAACCGCGTTTCCGGTTAGGTGCTTTTTTCTGGTCCGGGCCGTGAATCAGAACAAATCAGACAAGTGGCAGAACAAATCAGACAGAATAAATAAGAACAAGTAGGTTCGTTCCAGAACCAATGGCAATACACGCTCTCTTACCTTCTTCGAGTACCGCCAGAAGGTCATCCAGCTCTTCACACTCTACTGTGAACAGGTTTTCGACGAAGAACGCGCGCTTTTTCTTGGACCACCGGACCATCAGGCTCCGTGGCCTTTTCCCCGGCTCAGGCTGGACCGGATTCAGGAGATCGATCACCTGGAGAGCACAGACAGTGGCTCACAGTGAGAGCAGGAGACAGTGGCTTACAGTGAGAGCAGGAGACAGTGGCTTACAGTGAGAGCAGGAGACAGTGGCTTACAGTGAGAGCAGGAGACAGCGGCTTACTTCTGTCGCAAGGTCCCATGGAGGACGTGTATGAACTCGATTTTGCCCAGCGTACGGCCGCGCACGCGGTCATAGTGGCAGTCCATGTGTGAAAACGAACACGACTGAGGTGTCTGTCCAAAGTACATGTGTAAAAACAAACACGACTAAGAACGCCTGTCCAAAGTACATGTGTACAAACGAACGCGACTGAGAACGCCTGTCCAAAGTCGATGCGTAAAAACAAACACGACTGAGAACGTCCGTCCAAAGAAACCGTGAGCGGCAGCACGGGGCAATCTTTCCAAAGAGCCTAACAAATGGTCAGTTGGCTTAGGGTGGCCAAGGGAGAGTGTACCTAAACTACCTTCCACTTTCCACCCCAGCCGTTAGCCATCACCGCCTAATTGGCATGTGGCGTGGGAAGCTTCGTTTATAAAAAAACATCTGAGCATTACTACTAATTATTTCAAACCAAGGCTGTTTATATACTGAAATGATGAAAATGAAATGCAGCCATTCGTTTCTCCAATTTCCTTTATATTTTACGGTTCGATGCTGACGGTGTTCCCCATGAAAGCACGCACCTTTTCATTGTAGATCTCCAGGTAGGACGCTTTCAGCAGGAATTCCTTGTCCTTCTGCTCGTTGATAACTTGAAACAGGTAGACAAACGACCGGAACACCAAGCCGTGCTCTTCAGAAAACATGTCAGGTACCTTGCGAAACTGAAACATCGTACGGAGACGTCCAGTCACATACAGTACAATGCTGTCTGGCATGCGCAGAGCGCAGCTCATCCAGAACCTTAGCAGCAGCCGGCAACTGTCATGCACCTACATGCGTTGTGGAACATTTGAACCGATATTGTTTAGGAAAAGAGCTATTGACAGTTTCCTTTGACGATCAGAGAATCGTCACTCGCTATTTTTAGCAGCTTTTTTAGAATGCACGTTTAGGTTGTCAATTTAGGTGCGTGTTTGCCACCACCAGTTTCTATACGCTTGCAAGAATCGCGGCTATCACATTAACGCTACATTGGTTCTCGCAATGCAACGTGAAGAATGGAGGGTTATCATGCGCGTAAGTCCTATTTGGTCTGGAATCTTATTCTTCTACGAAGCGATGACACAAGATCACAACACTTAACGTTTCTTAAGTAAAATAGTAAACCTGCCTAACAAGCAGCAAGCGAGCGCATCCCTGTGGGCATCAATGAATATTCGACACATTGGCCCATAGCACATACCCATGCATCATGCGCGCCACGTGAATGGCCTACGAGCGATTATCGACTGACATGAATTCCACAGTGCGCCTCAAATCCCGCTGCGAGCGGCATGCTGGAATTAATAAGCCCGTATGCCACCCGGAGACCACGAGCATTCCGCGATGCTCCAGGAGGGGAGCGCAAAGCATGGGCCGAGGAGTTTGTCACCTCACGAAACAGCGCAGTTCGGTCTGGATCAGCATCAGACAGATAATGACCTCGCATGTAAGCACACCGTTTCAGGGACATTACAGCACTCTGCACTGTGGTTGAGGGCGTCTAAAGATTGTTGTAACTCGTAGCTAAATAGCAATGTGTATAACTCCTTGGTGTGATCATATTAAAGCTTTACAAGGCTCCGTTCACTGCTTTAGCGTCACGGGAATAAAGGGAGAGCCAATACTTGTTTCATAGCAGCAACTTACCCGAGAGGGAGCTTTACCATGTCGGCGACGAAGAAACGCGGGTGTCGCGGATAGCAGCCAGTGTCTTTTGGCCGTCTGAACGTTGACGCCCACAGCAAACTCCAGGTATCGAGAGGGGTTGTGATATCGGATTACGCGGGGTATAAGACAAGTGGGTATATGGACATACGGGCGGTTAGCAATGACCATCAAACTGCATGCACTGGGAACTGCTCGGCATGCACGTAGAAGACGGATGATTACGAGCTGCTCTGTATCTCCTTTGTAAACGACACGGCTGGCAAAAGGTAGGCAAAAGCGTAGCTGTAATTCCTCAGGAAACAGAAGCTTAGGATCATCCAACACCGCAGTGCCTGCATCTGCCGGGAACAAACCACTCAAATGCATCCGCTATAGTCGGGGCGCTGCTACCCCAGCGACGCACCCTGCTTTAGGGTACGCTACTCGCAGCACTACTGGCCACCGGGGCTGTATTGATGTGGATCATGTCCACCTCCACTGAACCAAGCGCCGTTTGTGCACGTGTTCGCACACACGCATCGCTTTTGAACTGCGCAGTCAGTTTCAAGCTTGCCGTGCTATTGTTCGTCCCATTTTCGGGTGGACTGAGCTTTGCTGTGCTCCGAGAAATGCTGCCATGAGATCCAGACGCCCCCGGCTGTGCCCCTCTGTAGAAATCCAGACGGCCCCTGGCTGCGCCCCACCGCTGAGATCCAGACGCCCCCGGCTGCGGCCCACTGTAGAACCGGCTGCGCTCCCATCGCAGAGATCCAGGCCCCCCGGCCGCGCCCCACTGTCGAGATCCAGACACCTCCTGGCTGCGCCCCCACCGCAGAGACCGTGCCGGTGGCCGAGGAGTGACGAATGGCTTCATGAAGTTCAACTTCACGCTCGCTTCCATTGATGTCGAGTGCCGTCTCCAGTGCATGTTTGTTGGTGACAGCTCATACGTCATTCACATGAACGAGGCCAGTTCAGCTTTCAACGCAGCCTATCAGCTACAGCCGCTGCCCGCATCGTGTCAATGCCAAATGCCGGTAGATGTTTGTAGCATGTGCATGGCTCTAATTCCGTCGATGCTCAAAAACGAGCCTAAAATAAACACATTTTGTGACAAGCTAATTGAACATGTTATCTCTAGGTCTTCTGTAAGCAAAAATGTTATGGCACCAGTCCTAGCCGACCTTCTCTTGTTAGCAAGCTCTATGGTAAGCTCAACGTGGAAGGCTTAGCTACCACTGGATGCACGCATCAAGACCCAACGATACCAGGTAGGGTCTTGATGGTACGGGTTAGCCGCCACTCGGTTTGTTTACCCTCTGCGCGGGCCGCTGCGCGACGTCACTACGAGACACTTCGTCAGTGACCCGGAACGGGCACCGAGTGACCAGTCGAGACTTTGGCTGTCGGATGCCTTAGACTATACCCTGATTTCTACGGATTTTAAGTATTTCAACATCGTGCCCCGAGAGGTATGCGGATCGTACATGTACGGTTACACTGGCAGATACGCTCGCCGGGCAGGCGTACCAGGCAATCTCACCGTCCGCCGAAGCTCGTGATGCCGTTTCCCCCGCCCCGAAACTCGACCGGTCCCACAGACCTGTCTTGGAGTACTGCACGAGATCGTGTCGTCCAGCACGGAGGGGACTCAGTGAGCCGGCGCTGGCGCCGTCGCGCTTCAATGGGGCCGGACCGGCACTATGCTGCTGTCTGGTGGTATGCACCCACCGCCCGCTGACCTAGTCTCCGAACGCCCGGCAATGTGCCGGCATGGCCCACTGCTGCCAGTGGCCATGTAACACTTGAGCAGGCTAGCAGTCTTCTGCATGTGAAGTGTTGCGCAGCTCCAGCAGACCGTGCGTCCATGCCAGGCGGGTTGGTCTAACCGCCTGGCCCGTGTCGGCTCACGGATCAGGCGAGTGGGCGGCGTGTCGTGGGTTCGGATCGTGGGTTCGGATCGTTGTCGGCTTACGGATCGGGCGAGTGGGCGGTGCATCGTGGGTTCCCTGGCGACGATGACCATATCTTGTTGTTGTTAGGAGAGGCGCTCAGATTTAAGCGTTCCGCTTATGCGCCAGTCCACTCTTCATGTTATGTGCTGCTTAATGTCCATAACCGAAAATAAACATCAAATCAAATCAAATCAATCCGCCGCCCCCGACTAAATGCTGTCACTCGGTCGGCGGGCGCGGGACGTTGGCCTTTGAGAATGCTTGGAAGATGAATCAGCTAGTTACCATGCGAAATCCCTCACAAATTATCCCACATTTTCTTTTTTCAGTCGTCCACCCTTTCGGTAAGAGCCAGTTGTGTGAAGTGGGGTGCCATTTCCTGTTAGAAATGTGCACGGTCTGCAAGAAATCATAAACGCCTGAAAGAGACTGCTGGCTGCCCGTGCAACTCAGTCACCTTTTTCGTTTTCCATCAGACCCGTCAGTTCGAAAGCGCGCATTGCCCAATTCGCAACTGATTCCTTTGAACATTTGCGAAACCTAAGCATTACTGGGTCTACATCGCCATCGCCCGACCGGTCCTGTATTGACCAGTGGGCCCGCCTGCGGGCGCCGTGGCTACGACATCGGCGGCCGGTGGCCACCCCTGCGGCCGCGTAACGACTGCCGTGTTTGACAGACGGCAGCGGCCACTGGCCACCACTTCGGACGCGTAACGACTGCCGTGTTTGACAGGCGGCAGCCGGTCGCTATAGGCCGCGGCGCACGCTGGCGCTCTTCGAACGCAACAGCAGCCGACTCGGCCAACGCGTCGTCATCACAGCGCACTCACTAGAGAACGCAACCGGTGGCTCATCAAGGCCTGGCACGCGCTGTCGGCAGCCTCGCGTGGCAACCTTGCTGATGACTGTTGACTGACAGCGCAGGCTCGATCTGACAGCCGATGGGCTTCAAGTGGCGCTACTCCGAGGCTGGAGCTGAGAAACTGTGACGCGAGGAGCCTCAGGATCGAGTGGTCGAGTTGGCGAGCACCGAAACCATGTTTCCTACGATGGCTCGTAACGCGACCCAGCGTTAATGCTTGGGAAGTTCACATCGCTGAATTCGTAGGCTTGAGTGAGGGTCATGGTGATATGGAGGGACACGAGGTGGGTCGTTTTCCTCCCGTTCGTTATTAATTTTGACAGTTCCAGTGGCAAAGGCACAATCACAACATAAATGAAGTCTGCCGCAAGCTCTAGTGCGCCTTAACTCTTAAAGGTCCATTCTGGGACCTTGCGCTACGGCGCAGCACCAAGCTGCTGTCCGGAACAGTCCTGACCCAGCCGCATGCCCTCGGCGGCAGACAGGTCAGAGAGGTGGAGGGATTGGTACGCGACCGATCCGTTTGATGGTGTGAAGGTAAAGCTTGACCTAAATCGAAATGAGCTGAAGAGGCTGCTGATTGGTCGGTTCTCTTCGCATGCCAGGCGAGTGGATGGCAAGTGGTCATCGTCACTTAACCCTGATTCGGCAAGATAAACTAGGTAAAATCGATGGCAACATTTCAGTTTCGTTTCGAATTTTTAAATTTAGTCCTAATCTGTCATTGCAAGGCAACGATCTTTAGAATTAAATTTAGAACTAGATTTAATCATTGCAACAAATCTCTAGACCCTCTGGGACGGGGGGGGGGGGGGGTTCGACTGACAGTGCTAAGCGTGGCCGCACGTTGAGCTTAAGCCGTTTATTTCTTAAATCTTACTTAATCCGGGCGGGTGATGGATGCCTGCCACCTGCTCACCAGGTATGCGAAGAGAACCGACCGCACACAAGCCTGTTCAGCCCAATTCTATCCCGGTCAAGCTTCACTGCCACACTATCGAACGAATGGGCCAGCGATCAATCACGCTACCCCTCTGACCTGGCTTCTGTCGAGGGCGCGCGCCTGGATCAGGGCTGTTCCACACAACAGCCTTGTGCTGCGTTACAGGCATAGGTTCTAGGACTGACCTCTGAGAGCTAAGGCGAACGGGAGTGCTAGGGGACTTTATTTATACTGATTGTACATGTTTTAATAAACCTCTGAGCGTGGAACCTACTTTGTACCGGCCCAGCGTAGCATGCTGGACATCAGGGCTGACCAAAGAGGTTTATGATTTGCTTGACCACACCCGTATTCGTGACCGAACTGACGAAACCAGCTCGCTAAGCTGCACGCCATACAAGCCTTCCCTAGCGTTCTGAGAACACTCTTTACAGCTTTGCTAGTTCAGAGAAGCCAATTAATCCACACATCGTGACTAATTATTCGAAACATGCAGAACAAAGAAGCATTAAGCCATGCGGCAAGAAGAGCACAACAGCAAGGTGCTAGCTAACAGCCCTGGTGTTCCTAATTGGAAATTGTATATGTATATATATATATATATATATAAATATATGCATATATATATATTACTAGTGACACGTAAGGAAACATCACAACGAACTCAACAAAATAGTGTTCCGACGCCGTTAACTGGACAACCTAGCAATCGGCGGCAATATTTTCGTTACTTAGTACGTTTTGGGACTGAAATGCTATTATTCAGGGCCCAATTTTCTCTAGCAGCGATAGGAACGCCCGAGAAAGCATTTGTATTGGCAGGTAAGCTAGATATCATTCACGAAACGGTTACCTGCACAATGGCAAATCGAAGCAACGCGGCGACAAAGCAGCACTAACGACAAACGACTTCTCATGGAAAGAAGAGAGGAAAACTTTTTTCTCTCCCCTGGTCGTCTCGGGCATCCGCCTTCTCTAGGCGTCACATGCTCACGCGTGCTGAATGTAATTACTCGCAATGTAAAATTAGTTTGGGCCCCTGCTCCATCAGAAAGTCTGCTAAAAACAATAACAAAGGCGTTTTCAGCATCGCATTGATACTAACGGCGAACCCGAAGTGCCCAAAACGTTCCAAACAAGCATCGGTTATGCCTGTCTTAAGAGGAAATCATCTATATTCAAACCTTGTCATCGATTTCTAAACCATTTATAAACAGCTGGTAGAAACCGTACCACAAAATTTCTACGTATGGAACCATCTCAGTGCTATATACGTTTACAATCACCGGAACATTATGAATTGGAGCGAGTGTATGAGAGCAGTATTGTCAACAAGAACAATTTCTATGAAGTCCTCTGGTAAGATGCTTATGCATTTTGCAAATTTGGAAAATTGATAATAAAAAAACAAACAGAAAGGCGCATGGCGCTCGTCGTTACAGCTTCAATATGTAGCGCCAGCGACCTTGAGCCATGTTAGCGCTCAAGGTCATGGCACCGCCGGGATTCAAACCCAGTCGCCACGGCACACGCAAGGGTGTCAGCTGCTCTACACCATTTAGTCATTGCGCCTCCAGAATTAATTATCTCTGGTGACATCCATGATATAATTCGGCTTCAAAGCTAATTGTCTCCGGTGACACCTAGGACATGATTTGGTAACGCCATCAGATCCATCGCACTATGGGATGTTTGAATATTTCATGTTCACATGTCTGGCTATTTGTGTTCGGTTAAAGTAGGACTTTTTATTGTCAAGAGTTAAGACTTGCCAATTTCATTGCAGACGGTAAATATTGTCAGCCCAGGAAACATGAAAGTTGCATCACTTATTGGAAGGATTGACCAGTTACACGTGTATATTCAATGTTAATGCACTGTGATTCATATTTACTATTTTGCTGATCTATGCGTTATACTGCCCGCGCCACTCGGTGTGCAACGTTCTGAATTCTGGAGGAAGCCTGCCTAGGTTGTTACCTTACAGTTGAAACACAAGATTGTAATTACCTTAAAGTTGGCTACAGCTTACAGTTGAAACACAAGATGGTAATTAAGTGCAAGTCTCAACTCGCAAAAGCATGTGTGACTTGGTTTAGCGGAATAGCATTCAAAATGAACTCATTTAGCAGCATCGACCCAGCGTGGTCTGGTCCTGTGACGTGCGAACACTGCGTCACTAATGTCGCGCGTGCTCGACGTAAGGCGATGTTTATGCCGTGTGGCATAGCCTTTGCATAAAGCTACAGAGCAACTATTTACTACTATGCTTATTGTCATGTCATTTTTTGTAATTTCTTATGCATTATTATCTACCTAATGCGTCCTCAGGCCTATGCGCCGCCATTGCTGCATAAGAAGCCGCTTCGAAATCAGACGTGTGGCACCACCACAAAGCGCAGAGAAGCGTCAGATAGTTAACGAGCAGATGAGAGGGTTAACGCACCTCTGGCCTCCGACAGCCATGGTAAGCTTTGTTGTAAAACTGTTGGGAGTCGAGGACAATGGTGTGAATCGAATGACTCGCGTCCACTGATATTGATGAATTGCGCTTTTATGGATAGTTTTAACAAAATTCTTAACTGAGCGGAATGCTTGGTTGGTTTAATGAAACAGCAATGCGATATGTTGTAAACGGCCGCAAAATGCATGACAGCACACACTTAAGGCAGTTAAGCCCATGGGCTATTCTGATATCTAACATCGGGGCCAGTCTTAAGCTTTCAACGTAAAGCGCCATGGGCAAAAAAATGTGATGCATTTCAATGAGTAAAAGCATAACGAAACCCCCAGAAGCACAAGACATTTGACATCCACAAGGGTGACACACAACTCTGTTCAAATGAACAACTTCGGTGCAAGGCCGTGATCGCATTCTGGGTGTTCGGACAGGCAACAACACACCTGCCTTCAAGCCGAACCGAGATGCAGCGCAACGGCTACCCGCTATGCCCACTCACAAACAGTTATCCCTCACACACCCCGCAACTGCCCAGCGTTCCTTCAAGATCAAGCCAGACCGGGGCTTGCAACGGCGCGTGACACGCCGCATGCAGCTCGTCCCGAGCGTTGACGGGTCGGCCGTCGGCGGCGGTGGCGGCCGCGGGTCTCGCCGCACGCGACTCACCAGGTGCGGCGGTCCCGTCAGCGTGTGCGTCTTGCCGCTGCCCGTCTGGCCGTAGCAGAAGATCGTGCACGGATAGCCGGCCACCGCCATCTCCACCATACGCTTGGCGCCTGCCGGGAGCTCGTGTCAGCGGGGAGGCGACGCTCTTACGTCACGTGCCTACACGTCACACGTCATCGTCACCTGTTACGCCGGGTGGGGAGCGAGGCTGGGCGTGATCCGCCGGCTTCTGGACAGTTGTTCCGAGTGAGCTTTATGGCACGATCTTGGCATATATAAGCGGCATCCGAGTTGGCCTTTAAATATGTTGTTGGCATTTGAGCTTGTGCAGACCATGAACACGACACCGACCAAGGGCCAGGGCAGTCATGCAGCATGGGTGGATGAGTTACGTTGACAGTGGAATCGCGTGTAGCCTTCACGTTCGTTAAACGACCACGCGCTGTATCATTGGTGAACACGGACATCCGGCTACGAAAGAATTGACCCGCTAAGTTGAGGTCCAAGTTCATTTCATTGATGAATCATTCCAACAAGTGGCTTCTTGTTTGATTAGGTGCAAGTGTAAAAGTAGTACAAGTCCATTATTAGATGACAGCAACACGATCATATTGGCATATTTTCAATTATTCCTTCGGTCACAAACTTCGTGAAAAACACGATCATAAATCGTCAAAACATGTTACACAACGGCAGGCACATCGTCCAGTTTGCTAAGAAGTGCTTTGCGTGCGCGAGAGGCGGTGATGGTCGGCGACAGGTCGCTCCATGATGAGGCCGCGCGATCGAAGAAGCCCTACGTGCCACAAACAAGCAGAGAGCTGGCAGATCGAGAACGTCCGCCGCCGCCGCCCTGGGCGGTACTGGCACCCGTGCTAAATACACATAAGTGCAACATATGCTCCTGGTCCAAACTGCATCCTCTTGTCAGGATTTTTTAACGCTACAACTTTTCAAAGTTTTGATCCTAGCACTTGCCCCACGGAAAGTGGATACCAGGCGATAGCAACTATATTTGGCGCTCATTAGTGCATAGAGTTTCGGTGGAAGGCAATGGAAGAAGTGATTATCGCTCCGTTGTTTGATTTGTTGCGGTGGTTGGGAAACTGCCTCCTAAATCCTCTGTCCTCTCTGGAAAAATAAGATCGGAAGCTTTTTTTGCAGAGCCCAATCTCCTCGAGCAAATGATGTCCTCGTAATGCTACACATAGAAGTGTGCGCAATGGCTTAACTGGGACGATTCAGGGCTTCCATGTGAGTTAACCGGTTTCTACTACATGCTGAAAGCTATGGCTACCGGGAGGAGCAATGTGGCTTGTAGCTGGTGCTCTGTGCAAGTACTGTGCTGCACCCTTTGAATGGATTGAGCCTACGTTTGAAGAAAACTTTGCAAACTGAATTGCTTTCTTTGAGTGAGGCGAGTGGGCGCAGAATGACCATCGTACTCGACGCGCTCGACAACATCAATACGCAAAAATAACTAGGCGAAGTTTGTGGTCGCGAAAAGAGTTAAAACCTCTAATAAATTGAGAAAAGGAAACATGTCCCCTTTTCTTCGGCACACGGAGCGCCCAGACGCTTACTGAAATTACTACGGTCGTTGTGGATACCAATATAGAGGTCGAGCTTAGCCCACAGGTTAACTCAAATATATTGCGGAGCACGGATTAGACGATCGGCGAAAAGAAAATAGACGTATGAATATATATATATATATATATATATATATATATATATATAATTATTATGTATACACATTATATATATATATATATATATATATATGTACATCTATGTGTGCATTTTACCGGGCTGCTCGGCGTTTCAGCAGGCTCGTACGACAGACACTGGCAGCGGGGAACGTAACCACAGGGGTGGCAGCCGCTACCGAACCAGCGAGATCGCCAGCTCGACCGGCATTCTCAGCATAATCCCGTGCAGCGGTGATGTTTCATCCGGGAAGCAGTGGGAGCGAAGCCAGGTGTCACAGGCCTCGCAGGTCTGAGCACAGTCGCCTGCAGGCATCATGCATAAGAGAGTGCGGCATCGTTAGCACACCCCATCGTCCAGCGGCGCCGGTGTGCCGACATCAGTTCGGTCCGAGCGAAGCCCAGTGTTACGTCCGCATCCCGCCAGGCCCGGCGCGAGCTCGTTGGCATGTGGCGCGCGCTGGGCCAGTCAGCCACACAGACGCCACGGCCGCACACGCACCCCGGGCTGCCAGCGCATGCGTGTGTTATGCGAGGGCAAAGATATGTCGACTTTCATCTCTGTGGGTGCCACGGCGCCCTTCGCGAGCGCGGAACGAGTCAGGAGGCTCAGCCAGCACTGATGAAGAGGCAGCCCAGCCGAGACTACCGAAAGCCAGCAGAGAACAGAAGAGGCAGCCCAGCCGACACTACCGAAAGCCAGCAGAGAACAGAAGAGGCAGCCCAGCCGAGACTACCGAAAGCCAGCAGAGGACGTCGGCGAAGCGAGCGACACATGCAGAGCTACACTGTATGAAGAGCTGCGAACTCCGACACGAACCGGAATGATTGAGTACATCCTCCTGGGTGGCCTCCGGCTCAAACAGAATATTGAATCGAAACTGCTTGGACTTGATGTTCGCAGCTGGCGGCTCCAGCTGTGAACAAGGCACGAGCTGTGACAATGCCGGATCTCCGGGCGGATCGTGGCAGTTTGGACGTCCGATGTCAGCAGCCGATCCCAGAGCCCGCATACTGTCGGCGAGTGACCCTGCAGGATGCGTAGTATGCTTTTGGGATGCACGCACACATTTGCTAGCGACATTTTTCTGGCTCATGAGACCCCTGGTTTTGCTAGCCGCGCTACGGGCATCGGCTGCTAACTTCGGAAGCACGCGGTACAGGACACGTTACCTGAGTGCAGTATCACGTCCTCTTGGCTGGCATCCGGGCCCAGACATATGTTATACCTGAATGGTTTAGGTTTGGAGCCGTTGCCCTCGTTGAGCTGCAACGTGGGCACGATACACCTTACGACAGACACACAATCGTCGCCGTTCAATCAAGAGCAGGGTTACAGGCCGAGTGAGCATCATTTGAGATTCATGGCAATTTTTTAAACATGGGCGTCCCGGCACCGACCTGCCGACACACTTTCTAGAAACAAATACTCTTTTTTTGCAACCGTAGAGTACCGTCGACGAGTAGTGAGGGGGTGGCGGGCAGCGTAACATTACGCGAAGCGGTAATTGGAAATCCGGGTGGATTCACCATTGATATTAAACACATTTTCACACTCGCTCATTGATATGTTTTTCATATTCGCTTGACGAGAGGTTCCCCATAGACCTCCCCAAAAGCTCAGCTAGCTAGAGCCACCCAGAAAACGTCATTGGAAAACACCTGTTAAAATGTATGAGGTGGATTTGTATAAACACCGATAACTATAACCTTCCACGTGTCATACGACGTTAAATGAGTAAAATTCGCATGTTTACGGCATTCTTGTTATCTCAAAAATTAATCATGGTAAAACCATGCGGAAGGCGGTGCTCAAGAGCGCTTGGCAAACTATCATATGGATGCTATTGGAAATCGACACATATAGCCTGCGATGTAATTTTAATTCAAAGGAGAGAAGGTGATTGTTGCACTGGCCTGTACGGCTATATCAGCAGCTAAACAAGCACATCAATTTTTTCAAAGGATTGGCCACGCTTTCCTGTGGTCCCCATGGGACTTCGCTCCCCCTCCCCCCCCCCCCTCCCACATCACAAAGAGTCTCCGAATTTCGATCACTTACCTGAGGCGAAATCACCTAAAAAATTCGTCATTTCATATATACCGAACTCCTGCATGTGTAATTGTATGGTCACGTTAGTAGCCAACCAAATATGTCAGGGGTACGCGCAAGTTTGTTGTGGTAAAGGATTAGTCTTATTTGAGCTGTCCTCGATGGTAGTTGTAACGCACAATGTGTCGCGTGTCTCAAAAAGGTGACCTAAATGAACCGTAACCATCTAAGTATATATGTGAGTTACCTATTCAGATTTCCATCAGTCGGCCATTTAAAACATGATTATCAGGCAGCTGAACTACAATTTTGTTGTGCGCTGAAGCGGAACAATTCATTTCCACATCGTGTTTGTATACTTGTATGCAGTTACATATGTACCTATCAGCAGCAATACTTCAGCACCGCCCTCATCGTTCACACCGGTTTAATTACGGGCGTGTTGAACAGTTACAGTTGTTGCCTTAAACTTACATCGGTTCAGTGGCGACGGATCTCACTGCAGGTATTGTCCGATGTGAAGCGGACGTTAGTTGCTGTCAAGAACCACCTATGTTACCAAATTTGAAAAAAGAGGGCGCAAGGAAGAACGCTCTCCCCTTTTGACTGCGCGGACCTGGACCGATCTCCGGGATTTCGTGAAGGGGATGCACAGTCACTAGCCAGGGCCGCAGCCAGAGTCACGTTAGGGCACCGCAGTTAACCAGGGGGCCCTGCTGGTGACATGCAGCATGAAGTCCAGTCCTGCACATCACCCCAAAAATAATCCGCTGGCTTTAGCCCACTTTTTCGCGACATCAACTGCTACTTTTATTTTTCATGTTGGGGTTCTTCAACAGAAAGGCCAGAAGATAACAGAGGATACAATTCCGCTTGCGTCTAGAAGTGAACGGAATGAAATCAACCAGGACCTTTGGCCTTCCCTTGTAAACAATAGCAGCCAGGGTCATTTGCGGATTTTCTCGAGGTTAAACAAGAACCTTGAGCGGCACGTGGATTGAACGCCAGCGCAGACCGACGCGGGGTCCAAACGTGCATCGACATGTCCACCCCTCGTTCGCCAGGACAAGTTGATCGTTTCTTCAGCATCAATCGGCGAAAAATTGAATACAAAAATTTTAGGCACGTGCCCTCGTGGTCTAAAGAAAATAACACCGGTACCCAGCGTCGCAGTTTCCACAGACCGCGCACCGTTTGTCCCGCAGGGATATTTATCGCGACGGTCAACGGGTGGGTGAAAATGACTATGTCTTAAATTGTGTGCTTTGAGACGGTGAATAAAATCAGATCTTGTACGTGTAGAAGTCATCTCAAGTCGTACATTTTACCCGCGCGATTTTTAGATTGATTCTGGGAACGAATAAGGACGGACAGCTCCCCAAGCTCATGACGCAATGCTTGTAATTTCTATTGCTCGTGTTGCAGCCGTTCAGAGAACCAACCCTCGAAATCACAAGGGTGGCATTTCCTGGTCAGGATCTGAAGGGACATTCCGTCACAGCCCGGGTCCTAAGCCAGCTTTCATTTCGGCGATACAGGTCCGGGCCGCCCTGGTCAATACAGAGGCCCTCAGAGGGATATAACATACACCGGTCCACTCCCTGATGCAGCAGGCCATCTGACCGGGGAATCTGGCACCGGATCGACGCAGGGCGGTCGCTGACGTAAAAGGATCCCTTACCGACGCATGGGGTCTAATACAATTGGCACCAAGGGACCAATGCGGCTTACCCACCCCTGGTTGAAACGACGCGAAGGGACACACGTTCGGCGCTGGAGCCTCTGGCGGATGCGAGGCCTTTCCGCCGTCTCATTACCAATGCTAACCCTCGCACTGTCATATTCCACATCCCCTTTGATTGCTTCCATCCGCGTTGTATTGTTCGGCCGGGCTCAAAATGATTGCAAAACAGGTTCACTTGAGGCTATGACCTAGACTGACGGCGCAGAGTTACGGGTCGTCCGCCGCATCTGGTACATTCGTCAAAATCACGGATATTCATTTGACCTTGAGGCTATGACCTAAACTTACGGCGCCGAGTTACGGGTCGTCCGCCGCATCTGGTACATTCTTCAGAATCGCGGAGATTCATTTGGCCTTGAGGCTATGACCTGGACTTACAGCGCCGAGTTACGGGTCGCCCGCCGCATCTGGTACATTTGTCAGAATCGCAAAGATTAATTTGACCTTGAGGCTATGACCTAGACTTACGGTGCCGAGTTACGGGTCGTCCGCCGCATCTGGTACGCTAGTCAGAATCACGAATATTCATTTGATGCACCCATCTGCTGTATGCCGCCGTAAAGGTCCGTTCACGAACTCGATTTAGGTATATATATGTGCATTCGGTGTTGCTTAACTGGATAATACACTTTCGTTACCACCATTTCGGCGAAGAAAACGACAGCGTCAATCCATTCTGCATGTTCTTAATACTTTCTCTTCCTTCAAAAAATGGACAAAGTTTCCCTGCGATTGTCGGTGCTTCCCTTCGATACCTTCCATTGTTCAGGCGAGCTGTTGATAAAAACCAAGTTGGTTACGTGAGTTGGTTACGTTACTGTGAGCATACGCCGTAAACAGCGAGTGTTTTAGCCTCTCCAAAATATATGGTTTCCATCATTGATCCCTGAAATCATTAATGATCTATGCCCACTGCTGGATGGCTGACATTACAAACTTCGCTTGATTTAATCATCCAAGCGCTTGCTACTCATGTGTTCCACGTCAGTCAAGAACCGGTTAGAAAATTGGTTCCAGACTAGTAATGCATCCTTCCACGGATTATTGGTTATCTTGCTACTTAAATATTTCAAAATGCAGCCCTCTTATCCCAAATGCAGCTCGAGTTGCTGGAATGGAGGATGTAACCTCCAGCTATAGTCCACGGTTCTGTGGATGTGAGGTCTCTCTTCATCAGTCATATTTAGAGTGCTGCCACGTTTTTTTTCTTCAAATTTGCCACGTTCCCTCCATTAAGAGCATCAGGAAGAAAGCCCCTCTTCTCACTTACCCCTCCGATCATTCAGTGTTAATTAGAAAATCCGTTTTATAATCGCTTAAACGTCATTACATCGTTCGAGGCACTTTGTAACTAGATCCTAGAAGCGTGAGATATGAGAATGGGGAGTCAGGGATACAATGTCGGGTTTTGTCACCGGGATTTCGACAAATGCCTGCCAAAAAATGCCCAATATGTTACGCAAAATGGTTTTAAGTACCCCAATAATGTCTCAAAGTTGGCGTAACTGGTAACAAATACTGACGGTCCAGGTAGCTCTCACGCTCATTTTGGTTGCTCTAAGAAAGTGGACGCATAACTAAGATTGATAGAAGAAGTGGAGAGTGGCATCTCTGGTGGAAAAGTTGTGTTCTATACGAATAGTTCCGAACCAACGATGTCCCTTTGCTGACATTCACTAAGGTAATTTCGATATCACTGCAAGAGTAATGTTTCCGAGGATTACATGCAGCTGGTACAATGGTAAAGCACTACATTCTGCCCCGCCTCGGAATTCGCTCGCTCCGTTTACTTCCACGGTATGCTACGGCCGTCGAAGAGCGATGCCGAATCACGCATGGTAGTAGGGCTTGGGCTCATAGCATTCACGACACGTATATGCTACTCACCATCAGCTGGCCTTGTCCTGGAAAGGTGATGATGCTGTCATCACCGCGTTTATTTTCCCTCTCATTCAGGGGCCGCACTCTGCAAAAGGTCACCGGAAAATAATTCTTAGCCTTGTTTTACGAGCCGCAAACATTCGTCCATTTTGATAGAATGCGTAAGCACAAACAATTTGGTTTTGTTTCGTCTAATGCTATTCATGTGTGGTCGTCGACAAGTGACACCTGATTGCGGACAAAGCCCAACTCAATGAGGGTTTCCCACGCAAGCCAGCAAATATACGCCTTTAAAGTGGCGCGCGGATCACTTTTTAGCAAGGCATGCTAAACCGCAATAGTATGTGGTGCGATACTGCCGACACTATGGGGCTGTAGGCACGCGTGGAAATGACCGATGCCCGTGCGTGTTGACAAGTGACATAACATCATAACATATGGTAATAACATAGCATACATGACATAACAACATAACATACAACATAAAAACCTACAACAGCATAACATAACATAACATAACATATAGCTACGTAAATGATCGAATGCATGAGTGACAATGAGCCTAGTCAAACCACGACTCGTTCTGTTTTTCGACTAGATTTTCATTTTCATTTTTGACCAGATTTTCATTTCATTTTCGAGTGACCAGACGGCGTATATTTAGCATTGTTGATCTATTCTTCCTACCAAAATTGTCGCGCAAAAACAAGATGCAGTGTTTTATGCTAAATGCTTTGTTGTAAGTGAAGATGACTGACATGGAATGATTTGGATCTGAATGAAGAAAAGGTTTCTGATTTCTAAGCTAACAGTGCAATTCTGAAGCCCTCTCACTGTGTGCTGGTTGCAAAGCTAGGTAGCCGTTACTACTGGTGCTACAGTGCCCCAAAACTTTATGAAAATCTTGCCCAGCAAGGTGTGACGTACACAATTTCAGCATAACGATTCCGGAGTAGGGTTGATCGGGCATTAGTCAGGGCTTCGGTTGTCATCTGATTTGTCCCGATCGGTCGATTGGATCCTGAATTAGAAGCTGTTTTTTCCCCTTCCAAATCGCTCACGACCCCCCACCCCTGTGTATGACCCTACACTGTACCCCAGGGGCAAAAGCGCGCGACCTTCTGCAGCACAGAGGACAAGTATCTACAAGAAGGCAAGACAAGAAGACAAGAAGACAAGAAGCATCTGCGATGCTTAGTGGTATGGTGGAGTTCATTTGAAACTGCAGGTTTTTAATAAAAGGGTGACGGTCAACTGCAAACAGCCAAGAGCGTTGGAGGTGGAAGTGAACGAGGGCGGCTTGCGAGGAAATTGAATATCTGTCCACAGGCATTTGTCATTGCGCCCCTGCAAACAAATGACATTTTAACGCCCATCTTGGTTCCCTGTAATGATGGGGTTCCATTTAAGAACATTGACAAGGAGGTGACCTAAGAACTGCATTTCCCTATCCATATATCTCGCAAGAATCATAGAATTGCTCTATCGTAAAACATTCCTGCGTTCGGACTTGGTTTCCTTTGCCGGGTGCGAAATAGGCCCTCGCCAAAAATTCCACACTAAGAACATGTTCCAAAGACCATTTTTGTCATGTTCCTTTCACAATTACAACCAGCAATACGGCCCCAGCCCAACGGAGCCACAGATCGTGAAGACCGGACCCTGCCTTTGACCGCCAGCCACACCAATCGATAATACAGCAAGATGTTTGGCGGCGTCTAGTCTCAGAGGCACGTGAGACAGTCGGTAAAGGACAAGCACCGGCGGTTCGGGCGCTCGGCGCAGGGCCGCCAGGTACTTGTATCTGCTGGCGGGGACGGAGGAGCCCGGCCGCGCGCCGCCGACGCTGCCTTCGTCCCACTACCACTCGCCTGACTACCACGTTGATGTTGTCGCAGTCGTCGGCGTCATCTAGCGAGCCGATCGAGCCGTTGATGGACTTGCCGAGGGAGTTTGCGCTGCCGCGATTGCTGCGGAACGGAGCAGTGTGAGCGCTACTGGAGGCAGGACACAGTCGGGACAGCGAAATGTCTGCTGTTGATCAGCGAACCTAGCCGGCAGTAGCAGACATCACTCAGCTGCCGCCGCTTTATGAAGGTACCCTCCAGATGTCGACCACAGTTGCCTTACACCAAATGTCACGCAGTATCTGTGTAAACGTGAAACAACATTCTATATTGTGCAGGCCCTTGGGGCGGGATTCCAGGTCAACTAGATTACCCGGTTGTCTCAGCTGAGACAATCAAGTACCACACAAGCTGCTCATAAACACGAGGTGGGCATAACCTCGCCAAAATCACATGGAACAATCTAAGTCTCCCTGTCCTCAACCATTTTCTACACAAGATAAAATGTACCAGCGCTGCGTCAAGTTTGTGAGTCGGACCAACTCGTGCCGTTACCCGACACAGATCACCGGCCTGTCAGAACATGTCGATGGACGCAGAGCTGTCGCCGCGCAGGCCAGCGGCCGCTGCCAGCCGGCCCGGCAGCGGCCACCAAGGCGCCTCACCTGCCCCGCGAGCCGGGCAGCGTGCTCTCGCCGCTGAAGGTAGCCGAGCGGCGCACGCCATCGCCGCCGCCGGTCGAGCCGCGCTCCCCGCTCTGGCTCCGGGACGTGCGCTCGGTGATCACGCCCATGTTAGCCGCCGGATCGCAGCCCCTCCATCGCGCGCGACCGTCACCGACCGCCAATCACACCTGGACAGGAATGCCGCGTCGGAAGCCACGGCCAGCTAGTGCGCATGCGCCGCGGTTAATCAATCAACAGTGTCCTGTGAAATCGCGTGGGGTGTTGGGAGGGTCCATTCAGTGGCCTCCCCTGCGCAGTGCAATGAATAAAACAGGCCAGAAGTCGATACTAGAACGGTCCGGGATCGTGCATGCGATGTGCGGTCGATGCCGGTTGGAACAGGGTCACAGTGACTCACTGCCGGGTGGTCGGATGTATTTGCGTGCAAACTAGGGTCAGGTTGGCGGGAGGGGCAGTCTGGGGAACCTCCGTAATCAGGATTCAAAAACAAATTTCTCACTGGATTTCAGCCTCTATGTCAATCTTGGAAATGCTTGCGACTATTGTTGTACATTTTGGTTGTGCATTATCATTTTGTTATACGTTAGTTATACATTTCATACATTATACACATACCTATACACATACGTCACTTGAACATACGCGTTTAGAGCACTATCGTACTAGGGATCTGAGGGTCTTGAACCCTCCAAAATTTTGTAACAACCGGGCTTACGGTGGTGCATGGAAAGAAACAATCCAGGGTGCCTCTTACCCGTTCCTGGCAGCCGAGGAAAAGCAACGAACACCTAAGTATCATCTCAAAAACAAGTTACTGGTGGACACTGAAATGATCAAATTGATCAAGGAAGGTACTGCGTTGACAGTCGGGACTGCTCTTGGCAGGTTGATAGATAACTTCTCGGATAGTCTCGATAAGGTAAATACAAAAATAAGAGAACAAATGGAAAGAGTGTGTAAAAAATGGAAGATGAACTTTTTATACAAGCCAAGACAAGTGTATAAATAAAATCCGAGCTGGCCTGTACTCACAGGAAAGAAGGGAAACTGGCCGAGTAAATAGATCCAGTTTAGTGGAGCCGTATGTTCAGCACGAAACGCGAGGGAAAAATACCCAGACTACAGACCTTGAAATACTCGGCCGGATTTCCAAACATCCACTGAAGGTGGAGGAACTTTCTGCTACCTGTTTTCTACTTTACGCTCCTAGGTAGATCAGACGCGACCGATTTGGTCGGTAGTACCTTTTTCCTCAAAATTCATGCTCAAAATATGCATTTCAAGCAGCCGCTCTGACGGGAGAGCTCTCATTGGACTCCCTGCTCACCGCCATGAAATCTATGTTCTCAATTTGTTTGAACCCGCCCCCCCCCCCGCCCCCCCCCTCCCTATGGGTCTCATGCAGTGTTTCCAATTCACCAATTGGCTGAAATGTCTGTGTAACAAATGATGTGAGTCTAAGCCCTCTATTTTAGCAAAATATGACCATATATGCGGCCATTATCACACGAACTCAATGAGCCGTTACACTATACCTTTTAATTCTTTGCTATGTCTATGTCTGTGGCGTCCATTTCACAGCGGCTCTTTTCGAAGGGTTCGTTGGCTCCGAGAAGCATTTACAAAGCGGCTATGCGCCAGCCGATTATGACGTGGTTTTATGACGTAAATGTTCCCAGTTCCACCAATGCGCGTGTCGCCATATGCTTACGCCACCGGTTGTGCCAATCACATGTTCGCTTCTGCTGACGTAGTTCGTACCAAAAACATACCCAAATGTGAGATATACCTATCTTTGCAATCATGGTGGTTGAAAAAACACGTAATATAACTCAACATAGATGGCTCCACTTCACCATAAAATAGTCTCATCATCAGCAGACCAGCTTTATCTGACGTTAAGTGATAATGAACAGAGTATCTTTCCTTAAAAATTCTACAAAATCACCCACGAAGCCAAAATAGGAGTTTGTAACACTGTGAACGCATTGCAGACGTTTGCACAACTGAAAAATAAGCCAAAATAGTTTAAATGAAATTGATTCAAACACATAAAAATATCATTTTATGAGTCAACTAACAATATAACACACCTTTGTCAACTAAGCCTGGTCCATCCATTGTTACATTGATGGTCACCATAAGAATGATTGTATGATTGGATGTGCAAATAAAAAACCAGGATTGCCCATTTGCATCTTACAGTGCTCAAAACTTAATTAATTACCTTAAAAGATGCAGCAACCACAAGCTTCATGCAGAACTTGGTTTAAGTGCACAGCTAGTCATTTAAGGGAATGTTCTACATCTGCAGATATTAAAGCAAGCATCAGATATAATGACATTTACAAAAACACACAGCTCCCCGGCGCCAGGACAGCGGCCCTTTGCATACCGAGTGGCATCCCTCATTAATGAGTTGCTTGTGGGTGTTCGATGACCAAATGCAACAAGTTTTAAGCCCGCTCCCAAGTCCTTTTTCGTGTGATAGGGTTGTCCGATATTGTTTATGTGTGACGCGCTCATGCGCTTTTTATCCCTTATCACTTACCTTTTTTACATACTGTTTCATTTCTCAGACTAACGACACATAATAAGGTAATTCAAATGTTATCATTCCACTGATCATGCGACGTTCAAGGTCAATACAAATATATTTCTCGAGCCGTTCATACTTGGCGTTCTGAGTACCATTTCCAGATTATTCGCCGTCCATTGGGTCTCAATAAATGTCGCGCAGGTTCTACAAGATTCTAATACGAATTACGACTTGTGCTACATAATGCAACAAATTATACGCTCTTTCTAGCTAATACGAAATTAAGACTCGTAACCGAACCACCTATGAAAAGCACGAGAACCGAGCATGCGAATGCAAATAAGCACCTAAACTCACGGATTAATATGCAAGAACACCGCGGTAAAGGGCCAGAACACAAGCACCTAACGATATTAGTTCAGCACACATCCAGCACTGTCATTACCTTCTTCCGAGGAGCTTAGTACTACAAGTAGGAGCTTAGGTGGCGATTCCGTATGGATAGGTTGGCAGCGCCTCAGCGTTATACAAAAGTTGCATGACGTAATCAAACAATAACGTCTTGAGGAGTGCATTTACTAGAAAGAGATATTTTATGTCTGGGGTAAGCCTTTTCACTGAAAAGCATACCAATAGTTATCAGTGAGCTCATTTCATCATGTCTGGTGCTTGCTTCGATATCTTCAAATGTGGAGCATTCTTTTAAACATCGCTGCGCGTAACTGTAAATGTCGTTTGAGGCTAAACACGCATGCATCCTCTTGGGACGTTACAGTAACGGCGTTTTTCCCGTAAAGCATGTCCCGAAATAGCTTCTTTCTGAAGTCAAAGGAGTGTTCTACATTTATATGGGGTTTTAAACTGAAATAGCCATACTGAAGACCTTTTAGAGCTGTTCACAATCACGCCCTTCTGAAGACCTACGACGCTCTAGTTTCTGAGCTACACACCCGCAAAAAAGGGGAAGGTATATCGAGGAGAATATTTCAAAGTCACTTTGGCATTCATAACGTCATAATAACGTTATTCAAAGTCTGCCATTCCATAACCCATGCGGCCATCAAGGCCAGGCAAAATATAATTGTCGAGACGTTTATATCTGGCGTTCGTCAGCGCGATTTCCGGACATAACGACCGTCAAATGTCTCTCAATCAATGTTGTGCAGGGTACAATGACGTAATCAAACTGTGGCGCACCGAAAAGCATATTTGCTAAGTAGAAAACTGTAATGTCTAGGGCAGTATTTTCCACTTAAAAATCATACCAATAGTTATAAGTAAGCTTGTTTCATCATGCCTGATGCTGGCTTTAATACCTCCAAATGCGAAGCATTCCCTTCAACTTGTCTTTGCTGAAAACCATTCCGCGGTAACCACGATGCTGGTGTATTTACTGAAAGCAGGTATCACAAGGCCATTACATATAACGTACCTTTTGTTGTATTGATTTTGCAAAGAAATAATTGCCAGGGCACCGCGTCTTTTATCTTTATTTTTAAGACAGCGGTAATAACCTTATTCCTCGGAGAAAAACCAGGAGAGTGAATATATAGTTGGGTTGATACAACATGCCTTTACCGAAGCAATAGCAGAAGTGAATTCAAAATTGGCTACCGATGATCCTACTCAATTTTTCAGTTTTTTTTAAACAACAAGCTACCGTTTTTACGGGACATCAACATTCAGGGGATTAAACAAAGACCGATTGCCAGCCATTACCACGAAACAGTACCTATGCAAGAATTAGATTAAACGAACATACGTGTACATTCAAACAAATTCAAGCGAACAGGCATCATGCATCACGCTTCACTCAAACATGTAAGCGAGTTGAAGTAAACAGGCATCACACATCGCGCTTCAATTATCGCACATCACGCGACAGGCATCACTTACACGTGTAAACGATTTTAAGCTAGCATACATCACACATAAAGGCACATATCACGTTCGCATAATCACCCATGATGAGCCCTGTATGTTATGATTTAGTCGCCGACTTTTTATCAAAATATATGCACTTATTTTTCTGTCTGGGTGGTCCCGCGCTCAGTAGATGACCTTGAGTTTTAACACGGGCATAGGGTCCATACTTCCCTCGATTTCAGCCTGAGCGTATTTTGCCAAAAACTGGTCATCGAAGGGGGTGTTCTCTGTTTTGTTTTTAGCGCCTCGCAGGTGTTCATTAGATCTCAAACGAATAGGATGTAAGGACTCCCCGACATAGACTATGTCCCTCCCATGTTTTGCGCACAGTCTACCGTTGATTTCGTTGACCACTTTCTAAAGTGCAAACCGCTTTAAACCCAGAAACTACATAAATGACATTTTTTGCCACCCGGGCTTCGAGATTGAGGATTTCACCGCACTTTCAAAGCTTATTGTCGTGCTTCCAAGCTATGCGTATGCGCAGTTTTATTTTTTAACAATGTCTTTGATTTTCCAAATCAAATGCTCATCTATGTAAGGTAGCGTTAAGAGTCCGTCTTCCGATAGGACGTGTTCCCGCCTCCTACCACCCATTCCCCAAGCGTTCTAACCTTTTTTTCCTTTTTTAACATTCTACCTGAAAGTCGCGGTGAATATTCATGGTCCAACAGCAAAGCCC